CTGGCTTCTCAGCACCCCATAGCGATCCACTAGCGTGCGCAGGGAGCAAGGTCGATGCAAAAAGGAGCTTATTTGTGCAGGATTACCTCAGGCAAGAAAACAGCTGGAGACCCCATATGCTGTAGTTAACTAGAAGTCTGCTGGGGTTGTTATACCATTCATGTCTTTGAGGGACCACCTGCAAGAAATTTTTCTAGAAAGCTTGAAATCGACCATTTGCCCCAAAAATGTACCATTTTTCGCGTAAGTTACTTTGAGATCGTCTCGTTCTGCACATGAAAGACAAAATCTTTGGTTACTTCGGACATTGTTGGGGTAATGCCTTGCACATCTCTTGGACCCATCATCCAGGCATGGTGATCCCCGCAGAAGCGACGCCAGCTGCGAAAAGAGTTGCAGTCAGAGGCAAATTCGACAGCTTGTAATTTGTAAGCACAAATCGCAAAACTCGAGTGCAACTGAAGCTAACAGGTTCTCCACTCAAAACTCACGCTTTGGACGAAACTTCTTGAACTGCACAGAAAAATGGCCGCAGGAAGAAAATTTGCGAAATTTCTATGGTTGGAAAGATTTCCTTTTTTGATGTGCAATCAAGCATATTTTGGAGTCAATAAAGATCAAAGGCACAAAAAATATAAAAAGTTTAGGCTTCTCTCTACTACACAGTATAAAAAACGGTGTCAAATTCCGACCGAGCGCCAGAAAAAAGATGTCAGAAAATGAAATTTACAAAAGTGTTCGGGAACTTTCTTTACAACCTAATACTTTGCATAATTAGGAATAGCAATAATCGTGTTTTGAAACTCTAGTACTCTAAGGATTTTGCGGTGTTTGGCGCAATTATGTGATGTGCGATTTCTATCAGACTGTCAAGACTAATGTCATTTTTTGTTTGGTTGCTTAATTAAAGCAAACAGGCTTAACCCAAAAAAAGATAGGGTGTACTGTTCGATAGAGCAAAGCAAGCTCTACAAATTGCCATTTATGATTTCGCACCAAGTTTGATTTACGGAAAGTTTGAACTCAAAGTCTAGAGATTTCCAAAAGCCTAAAAATCGAAAAAATCGGATTTTAGTCCAAATTTTTTCCTACTTCTTACTTGCATACGTTTACTTTCGGTATCAGACATCCATCCATATGCGCATTTGCTGTATTTTTTCTGTGACCAGAAACTGAGAGAACGAAAATGTTTCTGAAATGCTCAAAAGAAGTCGAGCTGCTCATGCATATGTGATTCTATGCAACAAGCCTAGGTAAGTATGACTATAGATAATTTCCATGTTCCGTAGTCATTAAACCTGGGCATGTTCGTAAGTGTCGAATATTGTTGTGCCGAACAGGTTGTTAGGTGATCCTTTTATTGTCAATACTCTTCGGCCTTACGTTTCGACGCTTTCGTCTTCATCAGAGGCCAGGGAACCACCGCTTCGTTAGAGCTAGTTTCCAAAAATCCTTGCAGGACTGCAACTAAAAAGAGGAAACAGAACCTGGTATATCTCAAAGCTTCAACTCGAAGTAAGCTGAAAATTTGCAGTTATGCTTGTTTAAGCTGGTAGTATAGAGTTACATATGCAAGAAGGCTTAGCATTGGTTTGGTAATCTAATATATAAGGAATCGTTAGCTCAATTTAAAAATCTGCAAGTAGCGAACCGCGGGCGGGTCACGAAGCGAAGGCTGTTCCAAATAGCACCTTTAGATTACTATTTCACTAATATCAGGAGAATTTTCTTTCTCTCAGTTGCTAGCGAGGAAAAAATGTAGTAAATGCACATAAGATGTCTGATATCGAAAGTATTGAAGCCTGCGAGTGGAAGTTCCGTAAAAATTATTTGGACGAAAATCAGTTTTTCTCGATTTTTTGGGCATTTGGAAATTTAGATTTTGAGTTCAAACTTTCCTTGAATCAACTTGGCGCGAAACCAAATGGCAAATTGTAGAGCTGACTTTGCTCTATCGAACAATATACTTTATCCTTTTTGGGTCGGGCCTGGTTGCTACTAAAGCAAGCAGATAAAAAAGACATTATTTTCTTGACAACCCAACACAAAACTCAAGACTGTTCCAAAATAGCCCGCCAAATTCTAAAAAAAAATTCGGAGAAATACGAATGCTGCTATGTTTTGCAAAAGGTCTGCCCTGTGGTTATCAGGCATCTTCAAAAGTGCTAAAAACTCTGAAAGTTAGCGAAATTAACTTGATAGAAACGAAGGGTTTCAGTTTCTGGCGACTATTTCAGCACTTGTCGAGGAAATCGTATTAACAGCATAGATGCTGGAAAGGAAGCTTCTGCGCATGATATTGCTTAGAGAAATCGTTTTCCTTTACTTAATGGGGTTCAAAGATCGGTCCAAATAACGGAAGGAACTTATCCATCGACCTAATATACATTGACCCGTAGTAAAGCTCGATCAGTTCAGGTGAACTGAACTTAACTCATCAGTTCACCTTAGGTGAGGTAAACTGATGACCGCCCGCCTTCCCATGTTATAAGCATGACGAGTGAACTGACAGTTGACCATCTGTCCACCTGCTGCAGTCAACTCGTGCACATCAGTTCACGTTCAGTTCAACTGAACGTGAACTGATGTTAGACGAATGCAAATAGTGTGTAAATGAGGAAACGCAGACAAGACTTCCGTAAGTTGCTCCTAAGTAACTTACGATACACATCAGTTAGGCTAAAAATGCAGACAAAATTGGCGCGAAACTGCACAATACCGCGACCCGAAAAGGAGAGGAGCGATGAACAGCTGATTTTGGCGAGAAAAACAGAAAAACCTTTTTCTTTTTTTGTATAGTTCACTGACTTTTTTCTTCGACAAGCTGCTCAAGGCAAGAATTTTTAGATGTATTTTATTAGATTCATGTTGCAGTTGTTTCAATTTTCCATGAAATTTTCGTCAAAAAATACGTTTTTGTTTCATCCATGCATTTTCTAGGCGAAATCCTTGATAGCGGTCATCACCGATTTTCCGGTGGTCCTATCAAAGACGCCCTGCGATACAGCAAAGCGTGGTGTCGAACCATGGCCGCGCGCGTTCAATTTCAATCACTTACCTGCTCGACCAAACCAGCTCAAGTGGTTGCCTTTTCAAGAGCGAACATGATTATCATGTCTAGAAAGAGATTCGCATCCAGGTCAATAGTTCACTGGATGCTGGACTGAGGCGCGATGAGCTCGCCCCCGGTCCGCGTCAAGAGAGATGCCCTGACGGGGGGTGTACTACGGGCCGTTTGCTTATTTTCTTCTTGGCAGAAAATCGAAAAAAATAACTATTTCGTGTTATGCAAAGCTCTTCTAGGCTGTTTCTACATAAATACTTTGTAGTTTGAGTCTGCAAGCATAACACGAATTTCCAGTTGTTTACAAATATTATTTTTCGAGAAATATCAGAATTTGCGCTAAAAACCCCAAAAGGGACATTTTTGCATTCTCGACTTATTTTAACCAATTCGTGTTCCTCCATTTTGAAAAACGGAGAAAATACAACATACGTACATATAAATCTCATGGTGTCGAGAGTATACACCCGAACAAGTTAGGAATCCGCGAAATTTATTTCAAGTGAAAATATTGATTTTTCTTCATTTTCTAAGCTTTAGATCTTCGAAGATTTGGCTTGTAACTTCACATGGAACAATTTTAGAAACATTTGGAATCATTTAGAAAAAAGAAGAGTATGACTCACGGCAAAAAAAGTGAAAAAGAAAAAGAATTATTAGAGACAACCCAATATATGTCGCCAATAGGTTCCACCCGGCAAGGACAGCTCGTTTTTGAATTTTGTTATCTGTAATGTACACGGCTGCGTGGCCTCTTGCAGATGTCCGCATAAGACCACCTAGCCTGACTTAAAACCAAAAAAATCTCGTCTCGGCTAAAAGACGTGAACCAACAAAAGGCTAATGAATGATTTGAAGAAGCCGTCCTTTTGTAATTTCCACAACCTATGAATACACTCTTCATATCACTCTTTCTTACAAAAATATTCTTCTGCTTCAAAGGGGTTCGGTCAGCTAGTTTCCACCCGTAAGCTCGCTGGCACTCAAATTTGGGTACTTTGTTAATTTTTGTAGACGGCAGGGTTTCTAGATTCATAGGCCAGTTGCTACATATTTCACTTCTGGCCTTCGTTCGCGTGCACTCATACCAGATTTTATGTTGTCCACTGGCGCCTCTAGTACGCAAACCCTCAGCTCTTTGTATCTGTCGGTGGCTAGGATGAGCTGATGTTATGTTGTTTGTCTTTTTTTTTCGGTGCACCCTGAGTGTATAGTACAAATAAACAAATAAACAAATAAACAAATATCACATCTAATGCAAGTCAGTGCTTTGTAGGGACAAAATTTTGCTGTCCTACAAAATTGTACAAGCATAACCCATGTGTTCAACATTAAAGTATAATCAATTTTGAAAAATGCTAGCAAAAATGAGTCAAATGTTGGAGATAAGCGAGGTGATGAGGCAGCATGGGAAAAAAGGAAGAAAAAGGCGGTTTTCCAACGCTCATCACAGGCAGCAAAATTCTAGGAGAAAAAATGTCAAGGCTGGCATCTCACGAAGATAGCATTCAGCATTAGCTCTAACATTTCCATTAGTAATCGACAAAAAACAACATGCATCACCATTAATGTAGCCCTCGGAATGCATCCCAAAATGTACTAAAGCCTTGCCTTAACAATTACGGATAAGTATTCCAAGTCAAAATCAGCTTAGAAATCCCTGCAGAATCGAAAAGCCAGGTTCAAAATAATCAAGCTGTGTTGCGCTAACGAAAACGTGTCAACCTTGATGACAGTAGTTCTGGCGTCATAGAGTGATGTATTAATTAGATATTGTAAATATTTAGTAAGGTCATAAACGCCAACTCGCTGTCGTTTTCTTATCAATTTGACTTCGTTGACAGCTTCTAACTTTGGTGAGAAAACGTTTGCCATTATTTATTACTATTGAATTTAGGATTAGAGGAGCTTTTCGTTTTTTCAGCAAAGATGAATGAACCTCAAATCCCGCGGAATACCAACTAGAACAAGATCTAGGACCTTTTCATTAGAGATCAGCTTGAAGCCAGAATTTTTGAAGAATTCAAAAAAGTGCATTGTAGTGTACTTCCTTTTTTCAAATTGCACCAACGTTTTCATTTTGTATCGACTTCCGAAAACTTTTCTTTCAAATCTTAGGATCACTGGTCAAGTTTTCAGTAATGGCCTTTTGTCTTGAATTTAGGTAATTTTTTGGGTAGTAAACAAATTTGTTGACAAACAGATTTGCGAATTTTAATTTTCTTATAGCGCTTATAAACTTTCCTCTAAGCAAACCAAATGTAATTTTTCTCAGCACACAGGGATGCGTTATTCCGCTCAGCGTCAATACGTAAATAAAATTTGTCAAGTTTTCAGTAATGGCCTTTTGTCTTGAATTTAGGTAATTTTTTGGGTAGTAAACAAATTTGTTGACAAACAGATTTGCGAATTTTAATTTTCTTATAGCGCTTATAAACTTTCCTCTAAGCAAACCAAATGTAATTTTTCTCAGCACACAGGGATATTCCGCTCAGCGTCAATACGTAAATAAAATTTTTTATGATCAATTCCATCGAGTTTTTCTTGGAAAATTAGCCTTAAACCGAAACACAGTTTAGAGCGCGCAGCGTTCTTTTTATGCATGTTATTTCTACGATTCATCCATTCAAGCACTGTTATGAGATGGAAAAAGAAAAAATGTTTGGAATGATGCAGTGTAGCACATAAAAAACACGTTTGCTTCCTGATAACATTGAACCCAAATTCTTGTCAATGTGAGGGAGGGTTGGTGTTAAAGAATAGGCGTCAACTACTCTTATGCTAGGAGTCAATCACACCATGGCTGCTGTAGGTTTTTATAAGAAGCCTAGCAAAGCTTGAATTACTGACGTCAACAAAAAGCTCCAAAAACGTTGAAACTCCTACTAATGTGATCTAAATATCTAACTCTGAATGAAGAATTTCCTTATACGTGTCCTTCTTACAAAGGCCATGAAGTAAATTAGCAAATCAAACTAGCCAGTCACTATAAGCATAAGCTTCAATGATATCTGTAACGCTAATTCCAAATGCTTTCCCTATTTGCTGGTTGTTTTGGGAAAGAAGTTATGAGCATTTCTACAGTCGAAAAATAAATTGATGGCTTTTCAAAACAAATCCCGAAGAAGTTCAAATAGCGTATAGAAAAAGTTGATCCAATAGGATACAAAACAGTTCTTTTCCTTCTTATAACTTGTCGTATTTTTCATGAAATTTTCAGCAAAACAATTGGAAGAACATTGGAATATTCCCTATTGGAAGAATGAAACCCTGAAAAGTAGACCATTCTTCAACATTAATTAAACAGAGCAAATAAGCGTTCATGGATTTTTAGTGTAACTTGAGACACGTTCAAAAACATGAATTACGATGAGTTCATCTCCGGATACTTCACAACAAACAAAAACACCTCCAGAAAGGAAAAAGAAAGCTGCATCGGGTGGCACCTTAGTTGTTCGCCGATTGATGTTCTATGAGGTTTGAGTTGACCGAAGATGAAATTTGATGGCACCAAAGAAACAAAATTTGAATTGAGAAGCGAGCTAGAGAAGGGAAAAAATTGATTGTGTTCTGTAGGGCCTTATCACCCCCACGGGGGTGATCAGCATGCTCGATTACCCCCCTGTGCCAACCCCCAGCCCCGTAGTTCAAGTTTTGCAAGAAATCGATAAAATCGATATCGATCGATGATGAAAAGTAGCCTATGACACCGCCGGGGTCCGAAGTGTATGTGTGCCAAGTTTGGTCCAGATCGGTTCAGATATGGAATTTTCTATTCGGAACATACGTACAGACAGACAGACAAACAGACATTCAGCTTTATATATAAGATTATTGGGAAATATTAGGTTGGCTAAAAAATAAGTTCGGTCGTTTTTAGCGGTTTGTAGAATTGTCACAAATCAGTTTTAGTGCGTATGTATGGTACCACTGGAAAGAGCAAATTAAGGAGAATCGGATGATCTCCTCTGTTTTCTCAAAAATAATTCTTGTGATAATGAATTGGTGGAGAAAAGAAAATTGATCAGATTTTTTCCTCAAAATTTCGAAAAATCACGCTCCGAAAAAATAACTGAAGTCAGGTGTAAAGTGTAGATTCGCTATCCACACAACAAATTTTTGAATTTCCAACCATTTGCATGGCCATAGATGGCCAAATTCGAGTTATCTAGAATGCCCAAAATTTGACCTTCACACGCAAATGCCTGGAAATTTTCACAATTTTGACTGCAGAAATTCAGGAACAGCAGGTCACAATCTCTATTATGGTTCGCCACCTAGCCAGAGGCTGTATGTATCCAACCACCAAATTACACGCCTGTGTACTCACTGCAGGCTTAGAACGAAAGCTAGAAAGTCAAAAAAGCGAATTTCTAAAAGTTTGACCGTATAAGGTTGTAACTGTCATTTTTTGGGAACATAAAATTTTGACTATTCAATATTTAAGAGTAGAGGCTTGAGGCTATCTTCTCACGAAAAAATCTTAGCTGAATAGCTGTTACGTGAATTGTTATGAAGCTTTGAATTTGCATATCAAAACGAACTTATTTATTAGCCAACCTAATATATTAGGTCATCCCAAAAGTTCTTGCGCACGAATTTCAAAAATTCATGACTTCTAATTTTTCCAACCACTTTAACTGCTTTTATTTTTGTATGAAAGAGTAAGTCATGCACAGGGACAAGCAAGGGGTGTGGCACACGATCACTGGTTACAACCCCCCCCCCCTGATTGCTGTCTTAATAAGACCCCCGCCCCCTGAACTATACACTTAAGATAGCATTACTTGAAGGCCCTGTCAAACATAATGGGCAACATATCCATAATTAGCATGTCAAATAACCCCTGTAGACAAAGTGTGAGCGAATTCTGAAGATTCAGGATACTAGGCTACCTAAGTGAAATGGTCAAATTCCAACATGGTTAACTTTGTTTCAAAGGTGAATAAGCTGTCCGTTTTTGCACTCAAGACAAAGCACTACACCTTCTTTGTTTACCTCAGGAATCCCGTTCCAGAAGACCTCCAAGCTGTGGAATTAGGAGCCAACCAAAATCTCGTTTTTCCCATTTTTCGGTTTTGATCGCTGTGCTTTCACCAAATATTACTCAGAGAAGAGAAAACGAAACAGGCTTACACTTCCATGAAAACTAGGAGATCTAAGCTATCGATCCATTTAAACAAGATTTGCTAAAAATGTTTTTATGATATAGTTAATGGGGTGCGGCACACCCCCTTAAAAGCTGCGGCCGCCGCAGCTTTTAAGGGGGTGTGCCGCACCTCATTAACTATATCAAAAAAACATTTTTAGCGGACAATATTTATATAAATCGATAACCTAAACCTTGTAGATCCCACAGGACTGTTTGGAGCCTGATTCGTCTTCTTAGCTCTGAGTAATATTTGGTGAAAGCACAGCGATCAAAACCGAAAAATGGGAAAAACGAGATTTTGGTTGGCTTCTAATTCCACAGCTTGGAGGTCTTCTGAAACGGGATTCCTGAGGTGGACAAAGAAGGAGTAGTGCTTTGTCTTGAGTGCAAAAACGGATAGCCAATTCACCTTCGAATCAAAGTTAACCATGTTGGAATTTGATCATTTCACTTAGGTAGCCTAGTATCTTGAATCTTCAGAATTCGCTCACACTTCGTCTACAGGGGTTATTTGACATGCTAATTATGGATAGGTATGAATATTATGTTATCACTATTATCAGATTACCCAACTACGACCCCCTCCCCTTTTAAGTCCTCAATACGACCCCCCAAGGTGTGGCGTACCGCACCCAAGCTTGACGCTGATCATGCATTTTATAACGACATCTTAGTTGCTTACTAATATTCATCTTTTGCATAGATAATAGCGATTGAAGAAAATTGATCAAAATTTTGAATTTTCTGTGTAGGGCCATAAAAAATCGAAAACTTGCAACAAAAATCGGAGCAGTCAGTATCGCAGGTTCCTTCACCAGCTCTTCCTAACTGTGCAAAGTTTGCGCCGATTGATCGTCTCTATGAAAAGTTATGATTTTCGAGCAAGCAATACAAAAATGCGAATTTGATTTATTTTGACATTTTTCGCGTAAATCATATCGTTTCATAGAGACGCTCAATCGGCGCAAACTTTGCACACTTAGAAAGAGCTGGTGAAGGAATCTACAATACCGACTGCTCCGATTTTTGTTGCAAGTTTCCGATTTTTTATGACCCTACACAGAAAATTCAAGTTTTGATCAATTTTCTTCTATTGCTCCTATCTATGCAACAGATGACCATTAGCAAGCAGCTAAGAGGTCATTATAAAAAGTATGACTTATTTTTCATACAAAAGTAAAATCAGTCAAGTCGGCTGGAAAAATCAGAAGTTATAAATTTTTGAAAATCGTGCGCAAGAACTTTCGGGACGACCTAATACATAGTCGGGCCTAGCAGTGCACGGAAACATCTCGTCCATGAGGATAGACATGAAAAAATGGCTCGTCATCAACGTGTGTGCTCATCTTGTTACAACGTTTTTGCGAAATCGAATATGCGTCATGAGGAGCAAGAGAACGCTTTTGATGATACAAACATTTCCGTCCTGAACACGAAAATCTCTTGGAACAGTTGCTTCCAAACACAAAGGCAAAAAATTTGGACAGAACTTATGCAGCAAGCTATTAGGTTGTGTAGTAAGTTCTGTCCCATTTTTTCTATCGACTTCTTACCCATATTATTTACCTTATTCTGGAGTAAAGTGTATATGCTTTTGAATTTTGTAAGTCTGCCCTGCAAATTCATCCACCAACCTAGCAAAGACCAAGAGGAATTTTTGGCATTTATAAAAAAAGTGCGGGAACCAAAGAATCCATTTTCGAAATCTTTTTTCTCTCCAAATTCTCCCTAATTCCATCATAAATTTTTACTTAACAGCTTGGCAACGCACGAAACCGTAGACTAGATTCTTATGTCTGTATTGTCAACTTTTCGTGCTTGTTCCCTATCTTCTGCCATCTTTTCAATGGCATTTTTTGATAGTCGGCGAAAGATTTGGTGCGGCAATGTTAGTCGTCTCACGTACCTAAGTGTGATCCCCAAACCTTAGATTTTTGAGTAATAAACTTATAAATTGAAAATTTTTTTGACCAAAGACCATTCCTTTTCTTTTTTCTGGGTTACTTCCACCTACATTTCTCAAGACCGCTTTCGGGTTCTTAAACACTTCAAAGAGAGGTTACGAAAAAGATTTTTTTGGGAGCACAGAAAAGGTTTTCGAATTTTTCCGAGCTGCTGCAAAAGCTATAGCATTCTTTCCTTATGCTCAGCAGGTTTTTCGAGCTGTTATAACTATTCTGACAGAAACGGGGGCAATAAGTAGTTGTCGAGAATAAAGTTTTTCCCTTTTTGGCTTTCCAAATTTTATGCTGGAAAACTTTCGAATCTCCTGATGTAGGAAATTGAAATAAAGATGTTGGTAGAGCAGGCTTGGAGTTTTCAAATACATACAGGGCCTTCCAAAAAGATGTGCACACTGTTTGATTGTTAATAACTCTCTTGCTTTCATGCCTTTTGCCGAGCTTGAGGTACCACTTTGTACAGCGAGGATTAATCGAAGCTGCTTAGCACACCGTTTCTTCCATGAGTTATTTCAGATTTAGGGTAGCAGCTGTTTTTCCAAGGTTTGTCAGAAAGTGAATACGCCATCAAGGAAGCTCGAAAAATTGTGGAAAGTTATGTATTGAAATCAGCACGCCTGAAAACCTTGCTACACAAATTTTCAGATTTTTTCGAAATTATTTTATCAAAAGGCTCATTCCACAGTGGCGCCGCATACTGAAAGTTCATACCATGGTCCTACAGTAACGAAAAGTGATTGATGATTCGCTCTATACTGTTAATCTATTAGGTCGTTCCATAAGCGTAGCGTTTTTATAAACCAACAAAATCATCAATTTACAGTAAAAATCAATCAAAATTATATTCCTCGTTGTAGCGCACGACCTTTTGGCACATTCTTGTTAACTTCTCAACCTCAATTTTTCTAACGGCAGCGCGCCTGGTCCCAAGAAAGTCATCTAACCAGCGCTCAAACTACTTACTGAAATCGAGACAGGCACCATTCATGAGGTTTGCTAGAGAGCGGAGCAAATAATAATCTGGTAGAGCGAGATTTGGAGAGTATTTTGGGTACTGAAGTACCTTCCGCTCAAGTTGCGACAGGACAGTTTTGACGACGTTTGCCGTATGAGGCTATGTTTCGTTATGCGGAAAAGCTCACTGAATCTGCCTGTTAGGCTTTTTCTGCGGTAGGACCTGGTTTAGACGGTGCAGTTGGATTGTCTACGGTATGGTTGACCATCACCTACCTGTACAGCAATTTTCAATGTAGGACGTCCTGCCCGTCCCCCGGAAAGTCTTGTTCAGGGACATCCTGCTCAGCCCCTGATCTTTTGTAGCAGTTCAATCCCTTTTTGTCTCATATTGATGTGCGACCGCCATGCTCCATAATCGACACAAAAATCTGTGCAAAAGCGCTTTTTTTCATGAGAAAAAATGCGCAAATGCCGAAATTGCTCCTTTTTGCCCTTCAAGATTTCCATCTTTGGAGGCTGCGAGATCCGAGTGAATCAGCTTATCACCGAAATCAGTAGGTGTAAAGAGCAAAGAGCACAGTCAGTCCTTTTAAATGATATACGCATCTTGCCGCAAATCAACCGCTCCTCAAAGATATGAGGACGAAAATGAAAACGCTACGAACTTATGGAACGACCTAATAAGTTTATCCTCGCTTAGAGAATGGTAGCTAATGGTGGGCGAAAGACGTGAAAACAAGGGAGTTATTAACGATCAAACAGTGTGCACATTTTTTGGGACACTCTGTATATAAATTTTGCAAAACACAGTACAAAATATTGTGAAAATTTCAAGAGAAAAACTGCGACAGAACTTTTAACACAACCTATTAATATAGCTGTTTACCATCATTCCTGTTATAAAAGTACGCTTTAAAAACTGAGTTACGCTCCCATTTCTTTTTCTTGCAGCATAAAGAACATCTCTTTTACTTTCGCAGCACCGCTTCTTGCTCGGGAAAGAGCGTGAAAAAAGGAACACTTGTTATGCCCTAAAACTTTCGGACAGACTCGTTCATAGCTTTCCAGTGTCAGAGCAAATACTAACCACATTTACAATAAAACGTCTGCAAAATCATTTACTCATCAGAATTACAAATCAACTCCATCAATTAGGAATCAAAAGTAAGCTTTTATCCGTGATCATCTCAATGCACTCGAATCGCACTGTTTAGAGTGGTTGTTCGCCTTCTTGGTGGTTGTTTTCGGCTCTCTAAACAAGCTTGATGCGCTGATTTCAGCATTTCCAATAAAACTAACACAATGGCTCTAACTATAGCTCTAATATGTGACTCATCGTAGTAGTGAGGGACTGATACTAATCTGCCGTCCCAAGGCAAGACTTCTTTTGGGTTGGTGCCTGAAAACGTCCTGTTTGATAGTTCGCTCTCAAATTAATGACAATCGCTACCGAAATCTATACGTACCACTGAGGCCCACTGCCACGACATTACCAAAGCGGCTACTTAACGATGGGAGGTGAGTCGTACGATATCTAAAATCATAACGTGTTATCATCAGTTACTGAGAATTAAATTTTTAGCATAGGTATTTACTGAGCAGTACAAAACACCAAGCAATTGAACCGATGTTCCGTGTCATACATTGCATTCAAAGCATCAATGGCTCTGTAATTTCAAATTCTATCCAATCATCCAACTATCTGAAAGTTGAAAGCTTGATTACTTTGCAGTATTCAGCGCACCATGAGTGAAGAAGTAAGTCATGTAATATAGTAGATTTCTAAATCCGGTGTAATTAGTGGCCGTCTTTATCTCTGAAGGTTCAACTTTTGTTGGTAAATACGTGTATCCGTATAACCATAAGCCAATGCGCGATGTGGGAAATTCGTCAAAGATGTCGTAGCCGACTTCACCCAAAAGTTGAGATTCCTTAAACAAACTTATACTATACTAAGTGAGAGTGATCTCAGTACACACAAGATCGTAATCCCTCTGACTCGAATCATAATTGTAGAGGTCGCCGACGAAAATACAACTTATTTCGCGTGGACTTTCTGCAAGTGTTGCTATGAGACTGATATTTAGTAGTGAGCAGCGTTTCGTTCTTTGGAAGGTGCTCGTGATGATTTTACATAGTTTCATTATGTACATGCGCTTTGTGAGCGACACCCACCAGTAGTCGTGGATAGTGATGTAGTCGTAGATAGTGATGTTGTTACATTATGTGTATAAAAAGTCGTTGAATGAGTCGTCGTTTTAGAAACCGTTGATTGTTTAGGTGTCACGGTGGTCTTTGTTATGGGGTGGCGAGCTTAACAGAAAACATAAAATGAGACTATTCAGAGTAAGAAGCAAAACAAAGGAAATGAAGAATCACTTGCCAAACTCCGAAATCCTTCCAGGAACATCTTGCCCTACACCCACAGTATGAAAGTAGTCTTGCTCGTATACTTCGACTATTACTTTCGAAAACTGCGTGTTTGAAACAATCAGAACTTGGTTGCCTACTTCAGCTCTTCTTACTTCATCGGCGAAGGCAACAACATCCTGATTTTTTCTGCAAGCAAGCTATTTTTTCCATTCTTTCAATGGCATAAACATGTCTCACATTTACATTCATGCGCGGAGCAAAAAAAGGAAAAAGCACATAGGTTTACAAAGAATTGAGCAGAATTACAAGTTGATTCAATTTCTGCGCGGACTTTTAGGGCACATGGATGGTAAGCAAAAAGTTTTTGAGAGCAAAGGAAGTAATCTCGTAGTAACATTGATTTTCGGAAATAATGAGTGTGCAGTGATTAACCTGTAACAGAAGTCTGCGAGGGAGAGTGTGCTATAAGCAATATGTAATCCTAAACCCAAAGCAAGCCACTGCAATGCAAATACGTATAGCTGATTCGTTGACCGCCCGGAATGGACTCATGCGGAGTACCCGCCGCGTTTTTAACGCTTGCTCCAGTACGAATTCGCCCTTGTGAAATTCGTGCTCTCGTAACAATTCAGCCGCGCTGCGCGTGGTCCGCAGCTTTTGAGCTGTCCGTGCGGTCAACGAACCGACGTTATATACTTTTAACCTCTACATTATCAGCATAAGAAAAGTGCATGTAGCTCAAACCTGGCGTTATAGCACTGTACTGCTAGACAGCTGTTAGACTGCTAAAAGATGCTAGACAGCTGCTAGATTGCTAAAAGATGCTAGACAGGACGATACACATGCTTTGACACGCATATGTATCTCCCCTTTCAGTTTCCTTCTTCTATTTTCTCAGGAAAAGAGTTCGTTTGCAAGACAAGTTAATTAAGGTTTCACCTTCTAGTGCCTCGCTCCGGAGAATGACTGGTTTGACACTATTGCGGCGCTGCAAAAACCACCCCGCTGCTCAATGCCAGCGTCAAGGGCTTCTTGAGGGAATGCAAACCGACAGCTGATGATTATTCCGTCGCATGATGCGGGTCAATTCAGACTTAAGGATGTACGGATTCTGCAAACGAGGAAAAAGTTAAGCAACAATTTATTCATGATTAACTCAAAGTTTCAGGGTCACTTCTCGCATTGCTTAGAACCTACTCAGAATAAATCTGATGTTCGTTGAAAAATTCGCAGCTGAAAGTTTGCGGCAGGGCATTGCAGAGTTAATCAAGTACAAATTTTTTGAAGGCTCTTCTCAAAAACTTCTGCATGCTGCATACAAAAGAACTATACATTGTATAGAAGGGAGATAAATGCAGATCATGCAAATACACATTTGGGGTGAGAGAGAACCTGCGGAACTGTCCTCTAGATCCCGCTGCTTACATGTTTTGCATTCTGAGTCACCTATCCTTCTTGCAGCTCTACTACCCTCCTCTAGAGGCGTTTCAGTAAGGCTGGGTTCATACTGAATTCCGGGAACGGTTCCAGCACAGCGCTTGAAATGAGCGCTAACCGTTACCGGACTTCCGCATTAGTCGGAACGCAGCCTAAGGGCCTTCCTCCAGGGGCGTTTCAGTAAGAACTACTTAATGTGTAAGTTGCGTTTTCTAGCTTCTTGTATTTTTCCCAGTAAACCCCAGCTGTTAGTCGTTCTCGTAAAAAGAAATTTGAAGTGGACAAAGAGGTTGTTGATGAACAGCTCGAAACTTAGGGGTTTATCGAAAATCGCAGTATTTAGTAAGCCGCTATGAATAGCCGTTTGGCCGGTAACGCGCCAAGGCGAAGAGAGAAATCTCAATAGTTGAGAACTTAAAACTAATAAATAAGGTGATCAGCATAACATTTTGGTGGCCCGGCACGAGGTGGGCAGACGGGGTTTTCCAAAAATGACGCTGTGTGCTTGTGGAACGAGAGCACCGGCCACACTTCGCCGAAAAGCGCTCAAAAGCGCCCAAAATGCTCAAATTCCTCTAATTACTCCTCATCTGTATCAAGATAGAAAACAGTAAGAAGAATAAGCAAGGAAAATGTTGAAGGAATGAAAAAATATCAAAGGAACGCAGTCATAGGACTAAGAGACGCCGTTCCCGCGCGTATCGATTGACTGGTATGCGCTTTCCACCTTACAATTAGAAAGCTAGGCTCCTGATGCGATTTTGGGCTCTAACAAAGACAAGAGGAGGAGTTTCGGAACCAAACTCTCACCATATAGTAAACTTTAGGTGAGCAACAAATTTATGTAAAAATTTTGAAAAAATTATGTGAATTGAAAGTTTTGCCCAACTCAGGTGGGCATTAGGTGGGCAAAACTAATTTAACTAGTTAAACTTTTTCCCAAATTAGGTGGGCAATTGCCCACCTAATTTGGGAAAAAGTTAAGCACGCTCTTTATTCACATAATTTTTTTCATAATTTTTCATACATTGTTCCTTGGTCCTACTGCGCGTACACACCAAGTCTCGCGCAATTTTGTTTTCTCTGCGCGCAAACGAGCCTTCATTCACATAATTTTTCAATAAAACTTCTAAGATAAGCCCTGCAGGCCCGTGTTCATGTACCTGCCAAGTTTCATACCGTATGCTCATCTGTGCGCTGCAAACGTGCCATTTGAATCCACATCTTCATTTACCAGTTTTGCGAAATTTTTGGAAAAAATGCTTATTACACCTCCCATTCACATAAGTTTTCCATGACCTTTCATGCTTTGTTTCTACTAGCCTCTTTTTGTTCGCTTACGTAATTTGGTGCTATATCATCACGCCTGCATTGAGAACTGATCATGTAATCATGCTGTTCAACGGCATCGCTCATGCGACGTCGCGCACGCGGCAATTAGCGTCAACGCCGCGTAGTGCGCGCGAAGTCTGCTGTGCGTTGAGATTTTTGAAAACTATCTTCCGATGAATTAGATGTATAAGGTAAGCATGATTCGACCTTCTTTTGCTTGCACTTGGAATCTTCTTCCGGGGCTCCGCCCGGATCCCACAAAAACGATACCTTCGCTTTTTGGCCCCAAAACGATTTCCAGCTTGTCATTTGCCCACCTCGTGCCGGGCCCTGCATTTTGGTATCTGCATTAACTTTCTGAAAAAACAGATAACTTGGAAGGAGGGGTCATCAGCTAGAGATTACCGAGGACTTTACACAAAAATGGGAAATGCGGCTCATAATGCAGCTCGCTTTTGTTTTCAACTCAGAGGACACTCCAAAATGGATACGCAGCGTGAATCCAACTTTTGGAGCTTCAAGATATGAAGGTCATATAAGCTGTACTCCATTCCCGTCAGGGATATTCATGCATGCAACCGTAAGTCGTAAACTGCGATTTTTATTGTTTTACAGGATCCCCTTGAGACCTTAAAAGTTTTCTTATTAGTGAAGTCTGGTTTATATGTTTTATACAAGGGAGTAACAGAAAAATACCTGATGTCACTGCTAAGCATTACCTAAAGACAACGAATAAAGTCTCATGGTAACCTTATCTCATCTTTTCTTTGGACCCCACAAAGCTGTGGTCAATCAGAAATTTCACTACTCTTTCTTTCTCGTACAAAACTCAAATTCTGCATCTTGATCTCTCTGCGCATATTTGCCACCTCGGAATGCACAAGCTCAAACTGTGACATATACTACGTAAGCGTACCTGTAGTCAAAGTTACATGGAACATAATATACAAGTAAATCATTGCTCCTACGTCGACTCGTAAACGCTTTGAGCACACTGAAATATTTTTTGTGCCATAACTCGGACATAACTCCGATTAACTAATTTCATTACATGCACGGCTTCTGAATGACTTGCATTTATTTTAGTCTCAACACTTTTTCTTTCCTTTTCGACTTGCTCCTAGCCTTTTTACAATTTGTACACATTTAGGTTGAATCTGTTTGGTAAGTGCTCGCAGAGATAATATTGTTTTTTTCAAGTTTCTTTATCGTCGAGTCATTTGTAACCTAATATGCATAGCGCACACTATACACGTTAACTGACGAACTGCAAAACTAGTACATGCTCATTTCCTGCGATTTCTCCTTCTTTCCTCATTTCTTTTGTTTTTGCTTGTTACATGTTGGACAGTAGAACACATTTTTACACTTTGTTAGGCTAGGAACTGTTTTACTGGGAAGTTACTAGTATGGATGCCGTCGCTGATAGGACTTCGTGTGCAGTCTCACATATTAATTTACAAATGACTCGAGGTTACATGTTTTCGGTTTTCACGGTTACAGTTACGGTCTGGATGTTTCCCTTTTATACATGTGTTCGTATGTGAGGCGAGTATCAATTATTAGGTGGTCCGAAGATTCGTGGGGATTTTGAACCTATTTCGAATCACTCAAATAAAGATATATACTCTCTAAGCGGTGTTCGATGAACAATCTCTCCTCCTCATTTCAGCTTATGTTGTTTGAAGTCCCTTAATGATCGTTCAAATTTACGAACTAGCAATTTGTCAGAATCTTCATTTCAGACTTCTGAGTTTTGATGACAACTGGAAAGAATAAACAAAGTGCAGTACAGTGCTTGTTCTATTATCTAATACATCTAGCTTCTCAAAATTTACAAAATTTTTTGATGTTATTAAATTTTATTTGGGCATCTCACCTTGCAGAACATAAAAACGGCTTTCAGATAGGGCGTCATTTGATGCAGTTTTCCTCCACTTCACAGCTCCATTCTTCATGATACATAAAGGGTTCGAAAACAAAATTATCAAAATACTTGTTTTTATAGTTCCTTTCCAGCAATCAACAATTACTTTGAAGCGGTGAAAGCTCTGTTGCTTGGTAGAATTACTGTTCATTCTTGATTGATTTTGGAGGTTTTCCGATAATTTGACAGCGTTTTGAGCTTTCGTGTGTTTTACGAGAAATTTGGAAATTTATGGAAATCCACTTGAAAAAGGCACATAAGTCATTGTATTGCACGCTCTGTGCAACTGTTATCAAATACATCCAATATTCAAAATAAAAATCTGGAAAACAGCTAAAACTAGGGAGGGAAAAAATGTGGGTTGGGTATTTTGAAGATTATGTGACCGATCTTCAGAAGAAAAAACGCCACTTTCAGAACGAAAAAGAAAGTCTGCGTCGAACACTGCTTAGAATGTTTGTCTGTCTATTTTCTGAGTGATTTGAGGATGAGCTTGAAAAGCTCCGCAAACTTTCTGATTGACCCATTGGTATTAGGTTGGTACAGAAATAATGCGTGTTTTGCAAAGTTTTACTTTGGCGAGCTGTAACTTCTTATCATCATTTTTTTCTAACAACTCTTTATTAACAGATTATAACTTCCCTCGATGTGTAGGGTATAACTGACAATCATGCCAACTTATAGCACGAGTAGTAGAGAGCGTTTCACCAAAGAAGAACTGCGGAAGAAAATGAGGGATTTTGAGATTTCATCTTGCTTAACCTGTTCTTGTTAGGATTTGAGGTACTTTATGAAGTCATTCTGATTATTCATGTACTAAACGCTTGTTTCTGCGGAAGATGTCATCAACGTGCTCTACCTCCACGCTTACAACATAAGCGTTGCTCACACGAAGTCCTTATTAAACAATTTTTTGCGACATAGAATAGCTATAGTGACTATGCAATCTGTGGCGTCGATTAGGCTGTAATTATGAAAGATAGACTAATTGTGCTATTTAGACAAATTCTGCCACATACGTAGCTGTGGTCAAACGATAATTATTAATAGCGAGTGAGGCTCCCGCCAGAGTGCCGAAGCCATGCCAGCGCTACGCCAGGGCCGAGCCAGCGTTTCGATCGATACACGTGTATTTCGTTGGGGCGGGGTCCTGGCTGAGAACTAGGTCAGCTAGCCCCGCCCCAACGAAATACACGTGTATCGATCGAAACGCTGGCCCGGCGCTGGCGTAGCGCTGGCATGGCTTCGGCACTCTGGCGGAAGCCTGAGTTTTGGCCAAGGAAGTAAGTGCAATCAAATTTGAATTTCGAGTGCGAATATTTGAAGCTTGTAATATCCTGATGAAGTTAATTCTTGCTGCAACCATGACTAAAAAGAGCATCAAAGGAACTTCCAAAGGGTATTCAAAGTATTTATTCGAGGAGAAAGTTTGATGGAAAAAAGTTGCATGAAACAAGACCATGGAAAACACCATTAATTTGCCTTGACTTTATACAGGTTGTCTCAAAAGACGTGCACATTGTTGGTCATTGATAACTCTCTTGCTTCAATGTCTTTTGCCGTCCTTTTGGTAACATTGCGGGCTTTAACCTAGATTTACAGAAAAGACTTTCCAATCTTTCGTTAATTGTAGGATTACGGTAGGAACTTCCAGCATTTAGGAGAATGGTGGAATAGACCGTCTGGCATTTTTTTTTCAAAAAAAAAACACTGCAAAATTGTGTACTAAGGATTTCACACATGCTTATTTTGATACGCAACTTTTCAAGAGTGCTTTCAGCTGTTTTGAGGATTGATTATATTTTTGGCAAATGATTGAAAAAAGCGTTTACGGTTCATCCGGGATGACTTAGGAAAGAAGCATTACATAAAGTGGAAATTTCATATTCAAAATCAGCGACTTCCATTGTCTAATATTAGCCGGTTTTTCTGCTTTAGTTTTGAGGCAAAATATGGCTCTCAGTTGCCAAAATTTTTGTTATCTTTACCAGAGAGGTTGAAATTCGCTTTATACTGTGAATTTAAGTCTCCAGCAGGTTGGTACCAAAAGATCGACAATTTAAAAGCAAGCGCGTTATAATCTCAAACAGCGTGCACATCTTTTTGGGACCTGCAACCTGTACGGTATAGAAGAATAGTTCCAATGTGCACATCGTTTTGGGACCGCCTGCATATGCTCTGTTTACATGACAAGCGCCGGTGTTGAAGGACAAGTCAGTACGACGCCATCACTTTCATACTCAAGTGAGACCCTCTAACAATAGGACAGAATTCTGTCTTATGCATGACCAGTAATGAATTTCACTGCGAGTGATAAATGTTGTGAAATCAAAAATAGCATATTAGGCATAACAATTTTAGTTCAAGTGCAAAAAAGGAGATTGCGCCATCCTAGCGCGACACTCTTCTGACGTTAGGAGAGCGCTGACAGAGGTCCCGGGGCGTAATCTGATAAAGGGCTCTAAATGATGCTGTTTTCTCTTTAAACTGCTTTCTCTTCAGCCTCCTCTCTCTGTCTCAATTGCTACCACACAGTTTTAAGAAAAATCTTCCTCATAACTACTATCTATATAGCAAAAGAGGGTCCGATGTTCTTGTGCGAAATGTGGACTTTTCTAAAAGCAGTCGAAATTCACGGCAAATAGGCATCTTTTAAAGCAGATCGAAGGCAACGTTCGCAAAAAAATCGTCGGATGTTGATGGGTTTGAAAAATGCACCCTATATAGGCCATCTTGACATAAACTTGAGCAGAGAATTTGCACAAACGCAGAACCACTGGCTTTGAGTCATCCTACTAATACCCAAGTATACATTCAGCCTACTAATACACAAGTATACTTAAGTTATCAAAATTTGTTTACAAATTGCGATTTTGAAAAGGGAGAAATTTCTGACAAGACAGTGACGACTAACTTCATTTTTTTCTTGCTGTAAGCGGCACCTTATCCTGTTGAGTGGGTACAAAAGTGCGTGCCATTTTTTGGAACTATTCACAAACCATTGAACAAAGATAAACAATTTAGAAAGTTAGTAAGTTCCAAGTTTCCTCTTTTGTTAACCTCAGCATATTTCGATGTGTTAGTAGGTTAGTAGGTTAGTAAGCCGAGCGAGGTTAGTACTTTATTAGTTAGTGGCGGCCTGACGTTTCGACTGGATCGTCTTTTTCAGAGGCCTAAAGTGGTAAGAGATTAATGATTTTATGCCTTACCCCACCAGAAACCTCTTCCATCCTGGCTAGCCTCGACTTCACCCCCGAATGCTACAAACGAAAATACGCAGAAACGTGAAAGACGAACCAACCTCCTCCGCCGCTGCCGCGTAGATGTTGAATGCGGCCGTCCTCGAGTGCCACTAGTATTAATAGTGAAATATGGTCATACCGTGTTGACACTAATCACTAGTGGCATTCTTCAACTCACATAATTCCAAGAAAGGCATGAAGTCACTCGTGATTGACGCACACTCATTTCGGCTGTTCATGCATGGATTTCTTGCGAAAATCCAGAATGCCTCGAGAGCTTTTCTACTAGCAGTGTCATACTCGTGTGCCAGTATAGTACATCTGATTTCGAAGTCCTTACCACAGTGGAATTCAACTCTGTGTTTACCGAGCGGTGTGGTAAGACTTCCCCGTCTCTTGCTGGCAGAACAGCCGAAATGAGTGTGCGTCAATCACGAGTGACTTTATGCCTTTCTTGGAATTATGTGAGTTGAAGAATGCCACTAGTGATTAGTGTCAACACGGTATGACCATATTTCACTATTAGTACTAGTGGCACTCGAGGACGGCCGCATTCACCATCTACGCGGCAGCGGCGGAGGAGGTTGGTTCGTCTTTCACGTTTCTGCGTATTTTCGTTTGTAGCATTCGGGAGTGAAGTCGAGGCTAGCCAGGATGGAAGAGGTTTCTGGTGGGGTATAAGGCATAAAATTATTAATCTCTTACCACTTTAGGCCTCTGAAGAAGACGATCCAGTCGAAACGTCAGGCCGCCACTAACTAATAAAGTACTAACCTCGCTCGGCTTACTAACCTACTAACCTACTAATTTAGAAAGTGTTCGCAGAATTTCTTCATCCTTCCAGCAGTAATGTTTTTGTTTGCACTCCTTTTTTGCATGAAAAATCATTGGAATCTTCAACCTATGGTTTTTACTTACCCTAGCTTTTGCAAATTGCAAATGTGAAGACTTTTGAAAAACTTTGAAGATACTGAAAAGCAGCTATCGATGCCAAAAAAAGTTTTGTAACACTTTGTTTGCTCTATCGAACTATTATCGAAGCTTTATCGAAAGTCCGTGAAAATTTCAAAAAATAACAAAATTTAGGGTACGTAAATTGCATGGGTTGGAGATTGTGGCGATACTCGAAAGAACAATGGAGAAATCCGAACAGAGACATTACTGCTAAAAAGGGAAAGAAATCCTGCATACAACAATGCTAAGAGAGTTTGTCAATCGTTATTCTGAATGATTTGGGGATAGGCCTAAAAACGACAAGAACTTTCGGACCCACCTAAAATTTTATCATCAAAAACAATCCCCGCATTCATAGGAAGCCGGCATGTGTTGAAAAAAATTGCATCAACGCTTACGATTCCTGACTATAAGATGATTCTGCCTCTGCTTCCACGGTATCAAGACGTTTAAGAGCTTCTTCCGGTATCATCGACGGTGTTGTCTCTATACTGTTAGTGTAAAGAATGTAGGCATATCTCTGTTTTAGGTCCTTCATTGTCTCAATCGCTGTGCGTGTATTGTTTATATTCTAAAAATTGTATTTTTTGCAAAGATTCGAACTTGTACACTAAGAAAGCTGTTTGCGAATCTATACGCCCTTGCGCGTTATTGAGCTGAAAATTTACACGGCGAAAGCAATACTTTCCATTCGTAAAGGAATGATACTACCATGTGCTCTGCCGCACATTCCTTGTTAACTCACAATTTTGATACTGCACTCAGATTCCATGAAGTCGCTAAATCGGTTTCCTTCACAACAACGTACACGAGCCTGGTCTCCAAGGTGCATAGCAAAATACATGACAGGATTGTCATCTAGGATCAGTAAGATTAACAAGAAGCATGTTATGCATATAGGTCGTTCCGAAAGTTTTCCCCTTTTTTCAAATGAAACGCTACATTGAATGGAACAAAGATTTTTGAGAGATCTTGGAAGCATTCGATTGTAACAAAGCCGTAATTAGCAAAAATTTGCAACCCATGGTTCTTGTTATGTCAGGTTTCGCTGTTTTTCTAGATTTTCGTACTGACCCCCGAAGAACTTCAAATAGATAGATAGAGCAAGCCCAACAGGATACAAATTTTTTTCCTACTACACCTTGCTCAAACTTCACTTTTTAAAATTATTTCTTCAATGCTATCAAATTTCATATTTGGACAACTCAAACCTCATAAAACATCAATCGGCGAGTAACACGAGTGTCATTTAGATGCAACTTTTTTTGCGCTTTCCAAGGGGTGTTTTTTGTTTCCGATTTGTAAAGTATTTGGGAACAAAAGTATCATAATTTTTGTTTCAGAACATGCCCCAGGCTATGATTGCGAAATTCGACATTTGATTTTTTGAGTCTGTGAACGCTCAATTGCGTTGTCTAATTAGTGTTGAGTGTAATGCACTTTTGAAACGTACTGGCGTTAGTCGTGTTTCTGTCTGACAAAGGAGTGCTCAGAAGTCGAAGTGGCCAATCCATACAAGCTGCACACCATTAGATGCAGCATACAAAGCTGACTCTAAATCTGTCTTCCTTATCTGCAGAGCGCTTTTGTGGACGACATTATAAGCCGTTAAAAGGTTAAAGGTCATCATTTTGCTAAGAAATTGTGCGTTTAGAGTGCAAACTTGGCTTACAAAGTCATTCTCGGCTCAGTATTGGACTAAAACATGCAACTAAGTCACTTCACATGAACCGTACTTAAAAATGAGCTGAAAGAGCAGTAATGTGCCCAGATTCGCAATGTTTGTATACGGTTTTTTTGCAGTAAAGCTGCTCATACTTCGCCTAAAAAGGCGCTCTGCAGATACGGAAGACAGATTTGAAATCAGCATTTTATGTTGCATCGAGTGGTATGCAGCTTATATGGATTGGTCGTTTCGATTTCTGACCATTCCCCTGTGAGATAAAAATGCTAAAACTTGAGGTTTTGTTCAATATTGTATTTGAAAAATTATACAAGCTGTGAGAAGGAGAAAAAATCGTTTTTTTCTATTGTGTTTGCCCTATCTACCCGCTATTCAGATTTCTTAAGAAATTCAGTATAAAAGTTAGAAAATAGCGAAACTTGATTGTGGCAAGAGCCATCAGTAGCAGATTTGTATTCTCAGCGAGCACGTTTAGTATTTTGAAACGAATTTGGTATTATTAGAAAGAGAATGAAATGCTGCATCAAATGCTACCAACTTTCAAAAACCTTTGTTCCACCAAATGTGGCGTTCATTCGCAAAAAGCAAAATTATTTTCGGAACGACTTAATATCAGGTTGAAATGAAAATATTGTCGCGTTTTATTTCCTGATCATGGTCGCAACAACTTACATCTCAAAGACTTTTGTGGAAAACCGTTCGATAGAGCAAAGCAAGCTCTACGAAATGGCTTTACTGCTTTCGCAACAAGCCATGTCCACGTGGAATTCGACGGAAATTGAAAAGCTTTCAGTGGCCGACAAATCAAAAATTTGTGTCTACTTTAAAAAATTTCTACGACCTCCAACTGACTCACGGATAAACTTTCCTCATCAGACATTCATAAGCCTAGTTGCTGTGATTTCCTTAGCTAGACATAAAGAAACTCAAAATTTCGTGCTTTTGCCAAAGTGATGCTGGGCTGTTCCCGCGTAGGTAATTACGAGTGAAGTACAGTCGTTGATTTTCAGCTTATCAAAACTTATTTTCAAGGAATAATGAATCTTGCTTTTTTCTTCTGTTCAAAAATTAAATTCGATATCCCAAGTATCAAAGAATTCTTACGCGGGAACAGTATCACTTTGGTAAAAGCATGAAAATCTTCTTTTACCTCTAGCTAAAGAACAATTACAGCAACTGCGTATATGGACCTTTGATGAGGATTGTATGTTCGTGAGCAAGTGGGAGTCCGTAGAAACGTTTTGGACAAAGAAACGACTTTTTTGATGTTTCGGTTTTGATACTTTTTTAAATTCCATCTTCGAACTCCACGTGGACATGACTTGGAGCGAAAGCAGTAATACCAGAAAGCTTGTAGAGCTTGCCTTGTTCTATCGAATGGTGTCCCGTACACGTTTCTGGGATTTGAAATTTGACGATGCCATGACGAGGAAATAAAATCCAAATTCTTTTCTTTCCGACGCAATACTTCGTTTTTGTTTTTTTTGTGCAAATGTCGTAGAATTTTTTTTTCGTTGCTGTCTACCTTCACCTTTCGCTGACAGAACTGCAGCAATCACGACACAGACGACAATCAACACCAGCAATCCAATGGCGACTACCCATTGATATGTCTCCTTTCTGCTACCTAAAACAAATTGAACAAAATGAGTAATTATATCACCTTACTTTCACGAGTACAAGACGCACCTTTTTCGATTTTTCAAGCGAGCCGCTTAGCCGCCTCGTTGTGTTTCGGAAAACGAAACTTATGCCGCACGTCATTTTCAGGCAATGCACAGCCCTGTATAAGGTCTTTTGGTCGCAAAATGTTTTAGTGTGTTCAGGCTGCTCGATTTGAGAAACAGGTGCGCTTTGTTGCTTGTGAAGTTGGAGTAGGTTTCACCGAAAGTAATGTCGCTTTAATTTTGAAGAATTCTTAACTACTCTCCATGTGAAGGTATTTGCTTACCATGAACTTTATCAGAAATACACATTTATCTACTTTCTGAAAGCTTCTTCGATGCTCTTTGGCGGTAAGAGACCACAGAAATATAAAATCGAACAGGAGAACCAATCTGACTCTTTATTACCTAGCGACTGGGATAAAGAAATGAAAGCTGCCAGTTTGGGCTGCCTCCGCAGTCTACTGGTCCTGGAACCACATGCAACAACACTGGGAAAGGATTAGTTGGTCGCGACTGGCGGCTCAAACTGGCGACCCGTTCCCCTACCCGCGATGGTGATCGCAAGTCATAGCGACTGGCAATGGGGCGCTGTGCTCCTTGAGGAGTATAGACTGCCGTACATCTCATTCCAATTTTGGGGTAAGAAAAATGCAGTAATGTAGATTGTTTTGGAGGTAAGCATATTTCACAACAACAACATTGGCAGATTTTGAAAGGGAGGGATAGGAAAATCGAAAGGTATGAGGTAAACATAAAACAGTGGTGTAAAAGCAATCTTTTCGCTTTTGGCATTTAATGCGCTATTCTGCCATTTTCAACGTTTCGAAATTAAAATTGTGGCACGCTTCTTATCAAAATGTGATGAGCTTTTTGTCTTTATGTAATAAAATAGTGGGCTTTAGTGTAGCGAAAGCTGTCATTCTTCTGATAGCGTGAAGAATTAGACATGCAATCACCACTCAACCTAATCAGAGAGAGTTGAACAACAAAAATCTAATGATAAAAGCATTACAGCTTTTTACTCAGTGCTCAAGAACTTAAAGATAGGGACATAAGTAAGAAATTGAGGGCCGCTAGCGAAAGCCTGTCTGTGTTAGAGTCTGCTCGTCATTTGCTAACCAACCATAGACCAAGGCAACAATTTCGGTTGTAACAAATAGGAATAAAATTCTTAATCTTTCAGATCGAGCTCAGTTTGGAAGTGAGTGATTGGAAACTTTCTTTCAATCCTTGATCAAGTCATTCTTTTCAATTTTATGACATACAGGCTTACATGTGAAGATCCGCCCAATTTTGCCACTTCGCCATGCACTGCGAGCAGTGCCCCGAGCACTCGAAATCTCCAATGTCTGTCTGAATCTCATTACATATAAATCTGAACAAAAATCAATTGTTGGTGAGTACTTAGTCCTCAAAATCCTAGCATTGACTCTAACGTAATTGTGTTCTCTATGACAAACACTTCAATCCGTTTCAGAGAATGGCAGTTCGTTTATGTAGCAATAGTGATCATATGTAGTAATGGTCATTCACTGAGTTTAAAATGAGCAATGGACTGTAAGGGTAAATCTAGTGTGGTCATACAGGGAAGGTACGCCAAAGACTGAGAACTTCAAATGGGTATACTGCCACTTCCATATCAGTCCAAATATCGTCGCTTATATCACTCCTCCGTGTCATTTCGCATAATGAATCAAAATGTAGTAGGAGACCAAAAGTTTTTATCAGTGTCATGGCATGGATATTTTGCATTTTCTCTCTTTTTTTTGGGAAGTCGACTTCCAATGGAAGCATAATGCAGGGAGCTATTGCTTTTTCCAGTTTGCCATTGAAAAGCTGGAACGATCCATGGTATTTTTCGTTAAGATAGTAACTATTTTTTAAAAGGAAGTGCACAGAAGCTACTTTGACAAGCAACGTAAGCAGATGGGTTGTATGCCTAAAAACTTTCAATGACATTACGATAAGAAGGTTTACGACACGCATGACATAGCTTACTGATAGTTTTATCGATCTTTGAGACAGCAGAAAAGCTGATTGCCCTTGTTCTTTTATTCATATAGAAAAAAGTACTACTTAGAAAGCAAATGTGCAAGGCTTTGATCATATCCACATTTTTCAAATTCCTTGAAGCTGTAAACTCAATATGTGTTCCTATGCACCTCGTTATCAATGCATTTACTTATTTATCAATGCAAGACACAATTTGATTTAAAAAGATATGTGCCCTGGTGACAGTCGCGCTAAGAGTTGAGAGTATCACCTTTCTTACCTATAAACGAAGTGGAAATATGCAGGACAAAGTCATGAACTTTGAGATATGAGTAATTCTGAAGGAATTAAGGTCGACCGGCATGCTGCACCCATGGTCAACGTTTAAAAAGCTAAAAAACCTGATTAGAATATAACGGACACAGAAGCACGTATGAATTTGCGGGAAAAGGTGCAACAGTAAGGCAAAATATCTTTGTAAAAGCAATTGTATGCACTGGTTTGCTACGGGCCTGTCTCGAATAGTTGTTTAAAACCTGGCGAACTTGATTTGAGTAACGTAAAACCAATAAAATGTGGTAAAATGCTTATTTTACAATAGATGTGGCTAGCAGCGCTCGTTCAAAATAACGAAAATATTTAGGAAGATTGGCATTACGGTATGGCTCGAAGAACCAAGAAGGTAATGATGGAAGGACTGCACGGCTTGAAGAAACACTTTTGAAAAAATCCGAGTCAAACAATACGATTTCACTTTTTCGTCAGTTATTGTACTGAGGGTTTCGTGATCAATCAAAGAACTGAAAATTTCTGGAACGACTTAACAACACAGTACAACGCAAGAAAATTCATGCAACCGCATTGGCCTTGCAAATGGGGAAAGTGGTTTTTGAAAAACATATCTCAAAACTACCTTTCCAAAAAACGAGCTTACAAGGGAATGGTCGGAAATCGAAATGGCCAGTCCAAACAAGCCGCATACTACTGATGCGGCAAAAAACGCTGCGCTGACTTCGAATATGTATTCCATACCTGCTTAGAGCCTGTGTGGGCGAAGTTATGCGCCTTTAAACCCCGTGATTTCTTTCAGAAATTGTGCATGCAATGCGCAAATTTGGCAGTACAGAGCTATGTTCGGCTAAATACCGGGAAAGCATGCTTCTAGGTTATTTCATATAGCTCATACCTGAAAATGAGCTGAAAGGTTAATAGTGTGCTTAATTTCGCGGCTTTATGTACGTTTTTCCGCAATGAAACTGTTCATAACTTTGTCCACAAAGGCGCTAAGCAGATACGGTAAACAGATTCGACATCAGCGTTAAATGCTGCATCGAATGATAGGCAGCTTGCCTGGATTGACCACTTCGAATTTTGACCATTTCCTTTTAGACGGCATCAGCGTTCCAGAGTCTACTAAAGAACTGCAGGTATTACAAGGTGGGCCATTGTTGCCTTCAGAACGATTGTAAAAAGGGTAACAGCCAAACGCTGCTCAAAAGGATGGGCTGAAAAGGCAGCTGCGAAAACTGGAGACGCAGAAAAAAAACATCAGAGTCCTAGTACTTTTGCTCTGGTTGGATACCTCTATTTCTTGACAATGTCAGATGACTTCTTGTAGAGCCTCACTTATTATGGTGGCGGTGCCTCATCTTCGAAATCGTTAGGCTGTTAACAAGTTTTGCAAATTTTTTCATGTTTTTCTGCATGTGGTACATTCAATTTTGGCGTGTATATCTTACTGTGATGTCGACTACAAATACAGCAGTCTATTCCGGATTCTGAGAGTGCGTGTATACGTTACGGTGGTAAGTGTACGGTAAAGGAAGAAAATTTACGGATCGCACCAAGTCGTCACGGTCACAGCTGAAACAGGCTTTAGGGGCTCTTCAAAGCTAAACAAAAAAAACACACGAATTGTGTTATTGATTTTTCGCTTGTGCGCGACCAAGATGGAAGATCTTTATTAATGACCAACGTTTCGGCGTCCTCGCCCTCGTCAGAGCCTGGAAATCAAAGATCACTTGAGACGTATCCTCAAGCGCCTCATCTGACTTTAGAGACCCATGCAAGAGATCATCTATCATAACTTATAATAACGGGCTAAGGGTTGTTTACGTGTTTTTGTGTGTGTGTGTGTCTGTCCGTTACGGAATTCGTAGAGCGAATTCCAGCCAACCTCTTGAGGCCAAATTTTGCACGGTGCATGCTAGCAGCATGAAAGTCCGCTATGCAAAAGCACGAGCGGATCCGTTGACTGGATCCTTCAAAAACTGCGCTGCAAAAGGATCAACTTGGCTTCTGAACAGCAAAATTGGGCCTGTACCACCACTTTTTGCAAAGTCATGGATATGATTAACAAGCTAATGTGCAAGCCATGGACTTTAGCCCAAAAATGAAATAAAGTTGATTACTTTACAAAAATGGCGCCGAGAAAAATCAGTTGCGTAAATGTTCAATTTGCCAAGATTTTACCTAATCATTTGGGAAGATTTTTGCACAGAGATGTAGCCCACGGTGATCATCGTCATTATAGCGACTATTAAACCATAAAAAGTCCAAAAATCGGTTCAAATTTGCATTTATCCTTCTCGGAAAAGTTTCATCCACGCGAAAATACCGATCTCATACAAAAAAGCTCTTGGAATGAGTAGTTGTTTACAATTAATTCGTGATAGCCTGCATAGCGCGGTAAGTTTCAATGTCACTATTATACGGGAATGAGCAAGGCATATAGAAAGTAGGGCCAGTGCGAGCCTCTGCGAAGCAGAGGTGACGCACTGGTATATATATAATCAAAATTGTGAGTTTGGAGGCTATGTGCACTATAGAAACGCGCGCCGCTCACCCGATTGCTGAAAGTTTGTACACAGATGTTTTCGACCCCTGCGCAGATGATAGGCTACTTTTTGCGTCGATTCGTTGGGTCCTTCTATCGATTTATTGATTTCTAGCACTTAGCAGTGAAAATGATTCTTATCATCTGCTATCAAAGCAGAGGCATGTAAAAAGGCCGGCATGTTTCATTGTAGACTTCTGTTGGCGAAGTGCAGTAGAAGGTGCTCTTGATGTGAGTTTCAATAGTTCAATCAAGTGAATACACTCTATATCTTATGCTGCGGTCTACCTTAGCGTGCAAGTGACCAAGAGTGCTTTGTAGTGAGTGTGCTGTACAAAGGCGTGTTCAAGATTACACTCAATGCTTTCTACGTCACATTTCACTTTGAACAATGAAACGGTTAAGAGTTTTCACAAGATTGCGTTAAGAGTTTTCACAAGACTTAATTTATTTGGCATATCAAAAATTTTCGAAAAGAACTTGAATGCCTGTTTACATAATGTAAAATACTACTTACTTAGTCATAGTCAAGCTTGCCAAAAGATGTTAAACATCGGAAAACAGCTTCAAATAGTGTGGTGAGCAAAGCGAGTGACCGATCTGCAGCAAAGCAACACAAAAAATGCTCATCATTGTAAAAGTCATGCTACTCATCTCTCCTTTGCATGTCAAACCGCAATGCTTAATCTGTAGAGTCCCTGGAGTTGTACCGGGAAAGCCCGACTAGTATGAGATAAAAGCGAGTAAAAACGAACACGAAGGAGCATTCACCGTAATGCAGCGGAATGGTATTCAAGACCACTCGTATGAGGCTACTATCAGCCACTACGTATTTTTCGTATATTTATGCTCAAAGATCCCTGCAATGCAGCCCGCCAACGCAAACCTCATTACTCCTGCAGATCAACTTGCACAACGTTTGGGAGGACACAAGCTCCCTTGGCACTCCTTTCCTACCTGATTGGGTTTCTAGCCATAATCTAAAACGCTTCGAGTGTTTTGCGTACCACATTTTCGGTTCCGTACGATAAAATCGTGACTTTTATGTCGAATGCGCGATTGCTATGAACTTTTTGACAATTTGCAGCCAATGACGTCAAGGATTTTGGCTTGAGGCCATTTAGCTCCTCCTTTATCCCCAACGTACTCTTTCCACATGAAAGGCATTTTACAGGTTAATTACACCGTATACATTACAATCTTCATCTCCGCGAAAGGGCAGATTACGCAGCTGGGTTCTCACAAAGACAGCCATAAAGTCGGTTTCGCACTAGCCGCCGCTTCAGTTTATTTGGTAGAATGTCCACGACCGACTTTCACAGGATTTTTTAAACCTGCCTGGCGTAAGCATTCTAGTGGCCTTGCTCAACTCTTCCTATACATAGAAAACAAAAGAAAATCTTGTTTTGGAGCGATCTCTCGTCCCTCTGAACTACTCGAGTTCGGTAACGACAGCATGCCATAATGAAGTATCCGTTGCGTTCCGCCACTTGATAGGAGAGCTGCAATTACGCTAGACGTTCCTCAGTACGCGGTGCGGTCTTTCTTGTTGTTCTAAACATGTGCTGGATCTCCTTCTATGATCCGAAATCAGAAATTTTTGTTTACTTGTAATTTTCTTTGAAATCTACATAATGCCGAAATTGGAATGTGCCATCTTTGAAAAGAGCAAAGTTACGCAAGAACTTGCAAAGCTCAGTTAACAAGCCATATTTGAAGTTGCGAGGTGTGAATTAAATTCATAATAATGCCACACGACACGCCCATCCACAGCTCCGAATTAAAGGTTTCGATATAAATATGCCTGCACCTGTCAGAACTTGGACCTACATTTAATTTCCCTGTTTGGAAAACTGCATTTTTTAAGTGCCTCATCTTTGAATCACCCTAATTCCTAAGAATCGTAAGAAGGGCTAAATAAGCATGACTATGATAAAAATTTTTATTACTGCTCAACAATCTCTATCGATTCAGCCATTCTCGCAAACTTATGCTGATGCCGTTGCCGTGTAGTCGCAGCAGAGCGGCTGACTTCTCCTCAAAACAAAGATCTGAAAGATTTGAAATGCAATTTGCTTCTTTAAGTTTTTTGAGGATATTGCATTAATGATTGTGTTAAAAGCTTTTCTGCGTTTGAGAAGCTTTGCGCCGATGACTGTCACGTTTATTGAGAATGGGAGGGGGGAGAGAACAAGAAATGGAAAACACCAAATTTGCGAGACTCACACCCAAATCCCTTCCTCTAGAGAGTGTAGCTCGAAACTTGTGCTAACAAGGAAAGGAAGCTTGATCGAAGTGGCCTTTCAAGAAGAAATACATAATGTTTTGTAGAGCTTGAAACGCTGATTCCAAATCTGCCTTCGCTATCTGCTGCGGGCTTTTGGACGGGAGTTATGAAGGGTTTCGCGAGTAAAAAGTTACATGCAAAATTAGTGTAAAATTAGTCGTAACATTTTTTTTCTAGGGCTTAACTGGTAAGCGGGTCACTCGATGCAACAAACATTCTTGAATCGAAGATACAACTCGCTACCGTCTCATTTGAACATTAGGAAAAGACGACTGATTTTATACTAATGTTGCATTCAAATTTTTACGCACAAAAACCTTCATAAGTCTCGCCCAGAGGCCGCAGAGAGAGCAAGGGTAGATTTGGAATCGTTTTAAGCTCTACAAGAAAATGTATATCTCATCACAAAAGGCCATTTTGACCAGCCTTCCTTTCCTTGTAAGTTGAAAGGCGAGGGAGGAGTGGGGGCAGAGTTTGCCGCCTAGTTAAGCAAGTAAAAATCATGACTATGCCAAAACGAAATATCGTCTTAACGGATGCGATAGCATATCTGCCTCATACATATTCGCCTCTGATATGGAATGGGGATTGTGGTGTGTTATTCAGTGAAACTTTTATCAACAACAAAAAACGCAACACCAAACTTGCGTATGGGATGTAAAGTAGTACAGCGGATATCAATATATTACGAATATGAACGTGAAGAGCATTTACTACACAAACACCTTCTTTTGCACAACTTTTAGTAGATTACTCTTTCATCACAAAGCAAGATAATATAATGGAAATGTCACAACACATTAATAAATAAACGATCATTCAGATGGTCGCGCCGATTGCGATGAAACACATGCGAGGCTGCTATTTGATCATCTCGAATTTCTATTATTTTTCTTGTTGTTCTTTTCATCGCTCTCGTAAAGACCTTAATAAATCGATGACAATTAGCATTCCCTACGTTTGCGTACCGCGGATGTGACAAACACTCACTCTGTTATGGCTTCGACTATCTTCCCCACATGTGCATCGTGAAACTCGTAAGGAACAGAAACCACTTTACCACCGACGGGGACTATGGAAGTCGGCTGCGTTTCTGCATTTGAGCTGAGTTACATTTTTTCTTTGGATTTGGTGCATAGTACAACGCGTAAAGCTTTTATGCAGATGTTATATTGATTATGTTGAAACTGTTCCAAACGTAGGATCGTACCTGCATTTACGTTTCATTAGCTATCAGTAAACGATCTCAAGCAATATCTGCTTTGAATACATGACAATATCCTGAGACTAGTTAGCAAAGAAAAGTCTATCCGATGTTTTTTCAAATATCATGAAAACTGGTATAATGAAGACCTTTTCTATGGTTATTTTTCCAAACAATAATTTTCTGAATGGTTTTTAATAACTGTCAACGTGCTCCGCGCATATTTTTATTGCTCAAAGTTCAGCTGATTTTTGAAAATTTATCCTGGAATATTGCAAAAAAATAGTGCACATAGTAAATAGAGCATCCTCGAGTTGTACACTACTGTATGCTTTGAAGAATTCATCTTTGAAGATTACAATTTTTGGTGAAGTCACGAAACACAAACTGCAGAAGAAACAAAAAAGCTTTGTACCGTTTTACCCTAAACATCAGCATTTCTCGAAAACTGGGACACCTACAGAGGTACAAATGTGTGGTCATATTTCTGTATGTAAGAGCTATATAATCATGTGCGTTATAGGACCTTAGGACATTTACCGACGGAGTTTGACATTTTACTCACTTCATTTTTTTCCTTCTTTTTAGCTATGAAAAAAATACGGAAAGTGTATAGTTGAATGATCGATGTGTTGAGCATATGCTAGGATAAATTAGGAAATTTTAAGATTTTTTGGGGTTGAGATACGATTTTTGACGGTAAGGTTCGTTTTTGACTGCTACCAGATTTTAGTTTAAAACTTCACATGGAATACGATTTGGGCAGACTGTTGACAGCCATCTTGTAGAGCCTGCTTTGCGCTGTCGAATAATTCTTCAAGCTACATCAATTGAAGGAAGAATACAGAAAGAAGATGGCTGTAATAAAAACGGTAAAAAATTATGGGATAACCTAATGGTTATTGAATTCCAACGATGTAATCCAAAATGAGTTTGATATAGTTGGAAGTTCAGTCAACTAACGACTAACGCATTCTTTTCCAAATATTGTAATAAAATCTTCGAGAAATAGGGCATTTCGGCGTCATTGCTGCATCTGCATACGATCTGCCAGAAGGGATTTGCTGTGATGGTTAGTTCTCTTGGTCTCTTGAGCTGCTTTTTGGTATCTATTGCTGCTATGTTCAAAACTCCCTCAGAAGCTTTTCTCAGAAACTTATCGTGTCACCAACGAAACACAGACCTTGCTTCCTAACATATAAAATCGGTTAACGTTTTCCTGTTGAACACAGGAAACGGGCCAAAAGCACGAGGAAAACAAGTGAAATGGCTTGTCTTCAAAACCATAAAGTTATAGCTAATCTATGTATGCCAAAATCATAATTTGCTCCTACTTATGTTTAGTCTTTCACTTTGCTATTGATTGAAAGGCTTCAATATCCTACACGAACTTGGTTCTTTTTCCTTTTCTGGACTCTGTTGGTTTTTTTATTGTGTTGTAGCAAATTAATGCAAATCTTTCACTTCTTTATCAAATTCCGAGTATTTCGCTTTTTATAGGGGCACCACATGTGACGGAACGAAGACTTTTGCGAGTTTTTGGTAGCATTCAATGCAGCATTTCATCCTATTTCTAAAGATTACAAGATGGCTGCAGTACATACAATGGTCTCTCGAAAAATCACCAAAATCTGCGACCCATGCTTTTGAAATGCTCAAGTTTCACAAAATTTTAATCTACCAAAGGAGTTCAGGTAACGGGCAAATAGAGCAAACCCTGCAGGACACGAAACAATTTTTCTCTTCTTTCCTCGGGTTTCGGACGCGGTTTCTTCTAGGTGTTTTTGTTTCCATTTGTGGAGTTCTTGAGGATAAAATCACAATATTTCATGTTTTCGAAAGCGCCCAGGAGTTGTACCCAAAAAATTCGAAATGTTTCAAGTTCTAATAACTTGAATGTTCCTATTTCTTTGAACCTGGGCATTGTATATAATCTCCAATTTTGTTTGTGCCGAAAAGGTTTGTTATGGTGGTATCTTTATTCGGATGGCCTAACGTTTCGGCGCGTTCGCCGTCCTCAGAGGCCTAAAAGCGGGACAAAGCATCATCCATGGCACCAGACCATCAAATGTCTCTTCTAGCTTAGCTAGTTTCGACCTCTTTCCTAGTTCAATCCGCAAAAATCCTCAAATAGCGAAATGAACCAACCGTTTACACCACCGCTATGTGAAGTGTCCGCGCCGGAAGAATATGATAGTACGACCGGAAATATGTGACAGAAGCGGACAATTGAGCTATACTCTGATGGGCAGATAGAGAGTTATCTACGAAAGGCGGATAAAGTCTATCTACCATCTATAGCTCACATAGTGCTACGAACGGCAGGAACTCGGCAGTGATGGAGGACAAGCACTCGTTCTTGTTATTCATTTCTGGACTCTTTGTCGGAATCCAGAATGCCTCCAACGCCTTTCTAGCCGAGATCTCGTTCTCGTGTGTCAAAATCGTGCATTTGATTTTGAAGTCCTTTCCATCATGTGAGTCATTCCTATGCATGCCCAGCGGTGTTATTAAACTTTTCCTTCTCTTGCTTGCCAAGTGTTCTTTGATTCGCACGTTTAGTACTCTGCCAGTTTCACCAATATACAGTGCGCCGCAATCAAGGCATTCGATTTGGTATACGACCCCTACTTTTGCGCAGTCCCCTACTCCGCCATATGGACATATTGTGCATTGTTCGGTTATACAAAGTCGATCATAGAGTCGATTTCGAACAAGTTGCTTTTTGATATTCGCATTTGGTATATTAATTAAAATGACGTCATCCAGCAACTGAGCGCGAGCAATGCATTGTTGGAAGGCAGAGTTGATCTTATCAGAGAAGAAAGGGAGGCAAAGCGGGAGTTTTTGGGTTTGTCGAATGCGGTTATCGCGTGTATGTTTTGGTCGTGTTTGCGATGCGCAATGACCATTGCTGCGAGCGATTTCTGAGGCTAAGCATCTTGCTTCGCGGCGCTCATCCTCTCCCGAGCACACCATTGTTGCTGTCCTGAACATATTTCGAACTATAGCCCGCTTAGTGCTTACAGGGTGTGCGGGATTCGCGTTAATGAGGATGTTTTTGTAACTATCCTTGCGATACCACTTCATTTTTACAACGCAGTTGGTTAAGTTGACCAGTGTGTTCAAGTAGGGCAACCATCCTCCTCGTGGTTTCTCGCGCGTTAATTTGATGTACTCGGACTGTAAGTTGAGAATCCTAGAACATTCGTTCATTTCGGACTGGGTTCTAGTCACTAAACAGCAGTCGTCGATGTATCGACGGTACATCAATGGCATTCGATTAAGCACAGGTTCCTCGATTTTATTCATAAAACAAATTGCAAGAATCGGTGCTTGTCGCTGATTCATAGCGAGCCCGCGGATCTGGGAATAGTATCTTCCAGACCATCGAAAGATATTACATTCTAAACACTCATAGGAATGACTAGGAATAGGAATGACTTACATGTTGGAAAGGACTTCAAAATCAAATGCACGGTTTTGACACACGAGAACGAGATCTCGGCTAGAAAGGCGTTGGAGGCATTCTGGATCTCGGCAAAGAGTCCAGAAATGAATAACAAGAACGAGTGCTTGTCCATCACTGCCGAGTTCCTGCCGTTCGTAGCACTATGTGAGCTATCGATGGTAGATAGACTTTATCCGCCTTTCGTAGATAACTCTCTATCTGCCCATCAGAGTATAGCTCAATTGTCCGCTTCTGTCACATATTTCCGGTCGTACTGTCATATTCTTCCGGCGCGGACACTTCACATAGCGGTGGTGTAAACGGTTGGTTCATTTCGCTTTTTGAGGATTTTTTCGGATTGAACTAGGAAAGAGGTCGAAACTAGCTAAGCTAGAAGAGACATTTGATGGTCTGGTGCCATGGATGATGCTTTGTCCCGTTTCTAGGCCTCTGAGGACGGCGAACGCGCCGAAACGTTAGGCCATCCGAATAAAGATACCACCATAACAAACCTGTTTGGCACAAACAAAATTGGAGATTAATTTCAAGTTCGTTAAACCTCATTTGCCTTGTAAAATTAGTGCTAAATCATAGTACATCTTGAAAGTTTCAAATTCCGGAGGATATCGGTGTTTGGTGCATTTGACTAACGTACGCCTTCCAAAATCCGATGGTTTTGGTCAAAGAAACCTTTGAAATGTATGGCGAGCTGTGGATAGAAGGTGTGAAAAAATTGTTTTGTATCCTGCAGGTTTTGTTCTAATTATCCGTTACGAAGCATCGATATAAAACTCAAAAAAATTGCGAAACTTTAGCAACTCGAAAAGCAAGTGTCGCAGTTTGATTTTCCGAGAGCTCTTCAAATGTGTCGCAACCGTTTTATAACCATTAGAAAGGGAATGAAATGCCGCACTGAATGTTGCCAGGATCTCTCAGATATCTTTGTTTTATCAAATGTGGGGCCAATTTTTACTTTCGATGACCTAATATACCCTTTGATTCAACTGGATCAGCGGTTGGAAGGCGGGGCTTCGTGGTCTAATTAAGGCTAGGAAATAATCAGGGAGCATATTCGCGAGAGAGACGCAGGCTGCTCACGGGCGCGAGCGGTGCCTTTCTGCCGCCATCTCGTTGATTCACATGGTACAGGGTATCTCAAAAGTAAGAACACACTTCTTGATCGTTAGTATCTCTTTTACCACAATACCTTTTGCTGAGCTTCAAGTTTCTGACTTCTACCAATTAGTAGAAGAGGCTCCAACCCTGTTTTATAGTATGGAGCAAGCACCCAACACTTTTCATTACTGCACGGTTACTGTAGGAACTTCGAACGGGTTTGAGCCGTCAATGGCCACATTTTGCTCCACAACGGATACTTCAGTAAGCCAAAAACTTTACCATCTGCTGACTTGTCGCTCACTAAGAACATGAAGTTTGCACTTCATCGTAAGACTCTTCTCATAGGCTATGCCAGGGACGTAATAACGTTTTTTCAGAGTTTTCGAAAAAGTGATGTATCATTTCGGTTCAGGAACTCGTAAAAAGTTGTCTAATGAAAATTAGGATGTCGAAAACACTGATACATAACCTTCCAGGCTTCTCTGGAAGTTTCTCGAACAGAACTTTCCTACGTTGATCCTACAGTAATTCACAGTGATGGGTGACTCGCTCGGTACTGTATATCTAAGCTTAAGCCTTTCACTGAATGGTGCTTATGTCTAAGCAGAGGATTTTGTGAGAAGAGACTTATCAATGATTGAAAAGCTGTGCTTACTTTTAAGACACGCTGTGACCTCGAATCATTTGTAACTTAATATGTGAGAATGCACACTAAGCCATATTAACGACGGCACCCATACAGTAACTTTCCCGTGAATCATTTTCTAGCCTAACAAAGTGTAGAAGTGTGTTCTATTGAATAATATATAACTAACAAAAACAAAAGAGACAAGAAAACAAGAAGAATTACTGGAAATGAGCAGGTGCTAGTTTTGTCGTTCGTCACTCAACGTGTAAAGTGTGCTTCACTCAGATTAAGTTACGAATAGTTATCAAATAATTGTGCAACAAAATGCTTCCAGAGCATAAGCTTTGTTTTGCATAAAAGTGCCTTCATGCCGAGCCGACAGCCGCGGCCAGCAGCCCGTAGTCGCCGCTGTATTATTGGATGTTTACACTTTGAGTGCACCAACTGCCTTGCACCCTGAAACTATGAGACGAACGGCTTTGCAGTTGTTGTCTAACAAGCTTCAACGCGTTGTTAATAAGTCAGCACTTATACTGCATCAACTGCATACTGGAGGCAATAGGAAGGAAAAACCTGGAAGGTGAAGAGCGTAGGTGGATGCAGCGGCGTAATAACAAACTAATGATTTTGCGCGGCTAGAGGAACGAACACCTCAATTAATCGCCTACGCGGGTTGTTGGTCCTTTCGTCCTATTGTTGTGCATCGTTTTGGGACCAGTGGTCCGCAGAGGCGGTGCCTAAGTGAGGTGTTCGTTCCTCCACCCATTTTGCGCTCCTATAATAACAAAAGCGGCCAGCGGCGGCTGCGGGCTACGGGCTGCTACGGGCTGCTAGTGGCGGCTGCCGGCGCGGTATCTCATAAGAACCTCATATGCAAATCATGCGGACTTCTGTACTACCTAGAATGAATGAATTTGGGAAATTGATTGTTAGAAAAAGAAGTCTCTTCCCTCTTTGCTGGGCAAAAGATTAAGGATTCAAAAAGCTATTTTTCTTTTTAGAGATATGAGTGTGATTTGAGCTCGCAGTATCTTTTGGTAATAAAATCTCCGTGATGTTCAAACAGCCTGCACAACCTATTGGCTGCTCAGTGAGTGAAGTCTGTTAGTGTGCTACATTCTTGAAAAAGTTGTAATTTCTCTGAAGGTTTTCAAAAAACATCTGGCAACCTTCGGACCGTTAGTTATCGCTGAAGCTGTAAAGCTACGCAGTGCATAGTGGACTGTTGAAGGAAGGTCTATATGAAAATATTTTTATCAAAGTTTATAGTGATTTAGACACAAATATTTGAAAATTTTGCAGTTTTTTGTTGCATTTTGTTACAATTTGGAATTGAACATGACCCAAGAAACACAATTGGACAATGCATTCTTGTCGCTTTTCTATGGCGGAAAGACAGTGTTCTCTTCAAGTTGCAGAGAGGCAACTGCAGATTTCGCAAAACTTTCTTGAACAATGTTTTACTGTAACTTATAAGGGAAGTCCGACTAGTCGAAGTGGCCTTTGCAAATGAGGCCCAGTTCAAACCAAGCCAGTACCCGCCTGAATCCGCTCAAATACGTCGAATCCGCTCGAAATCGCCCAAATACGTTCGAACCCGCCTTAACGCCGCAATTGCCAAGGCGCAGAAGATATGCCTGCAAATTGCCGTATTAGAGCGCGGTGAAATACTGCGCGCGTTATACATATCCTTCATTCTCTGACTAACGAGGGAGAGTTCCCAAGTCAGCTCGGCCAACCGGATGAGTGATATATTACCGTAACGGGCTTGAAACGCTGATTCCAAATCTGCTTTCTTTTTCTGCGGAACAACTCTACGAGAGAAGTTATGAGTGTCTAAATGTCTAATTTTGTCATGTTTTAAGTGGCTCAATATTGGCGAAACCTGTACAATAACACATGAAGGTGATTTATCAGTCTTGTATCAAGTATATTGATTACAAGGACGGGACATAGATAGTGAAATTTCGTTAGGTGTTGTTTTACAGCTTTCAACTAATTTTAAGCCACTTTAAACATGACAAATTTAGACATTTAAACGCCTATAACTTCTTCCGGAGAGTTGTTTTGCAGAAAAGGAAAGCAGGATTGGAATCAGCGTTTCAAGCCCGTTACGATGATAATGACTCATTCGGGTCGACCGAGCTGACTTGGGAACTCTCCCTTGTAAGAGACGCAAGCACGCTTTACGTACTTCTTTTTAACAAGTTTAAGAGCGCGATCAAACGCATTCCGATAAATTACTATTGAGAATTAATGAGAGAACATGTTCAAACTCGCGTTCTTTAAGCTCGAACATGTCCCATTACGAATTCTGATAGTAGTTTGTTAATCACATAGTACGTAAAGGATGCTCGTGTTTCTTGCAAGGGAAGTACTTTCTATGGCGTGGCCTTTTGATATGAGATGCATACGTCTGAAGCAGCTTTAAACGCTGATTTCAAATCTGCTTTCTATTTCTGCAGAGGGCTTTTCTGGAGAGAGTTATGGAAGCTTGAAAATCCTATCTTAGCGGCCTCTTTGAGTTTGAGAGCGGTGCTATGTGCGTTGTTGGTGCAATGGTGCAATGGTTACTTGTTGGAATTGAAGGCGAAAGGTCAATGGTTGGGATCCGGTGCAGTGCGAACCATTTTGCCCTTTGAATGTGAGTTTGAAAACCAGTCTAATTCGTCTGCAGTCACTTACTGTAAACCTTGGCAAATGTGACCTAAGGGGAAAGTTTTCTTGCATAACTGATTGTAATGAGGCCTTGAAACTCTACCTGACTTCGTTACCAGTAAAACACAGGAACGAACATGGTGAAGCATGTTGATCACCATATAAACTCAAGGAATGCGCACTATCATTAATCGAAAAGATGTTCTCTCCTGCATTTAATTTGATGGGCACTTGCGAATGATTGCGTGGAGTTTCTCTTTATAGGCTGTTCCCGTTGTGAGAAACGTCTGTGTTTTGCCCACTTTTTAATTTCGCTTCACCTCTATACATATTTTTTGTGGAGAAAACCAAATCTCAAGGCGTTTGCCAGAAAATGTTTTCCTTAGCTCACATGTGCTATCACAGTGAGTAATGCAGACGAATTAGACTGGTTTTTAAACTCACATTCAAAGTGCAAAATGGTTCGCTCTGCACCGGATTTGAACCATCGACCTTTCGCCTCTAATTCCAACAAGTAACCATTTCACCACTGCACCACCGACGCACGTAGCACCGCTCTCAAATTCAAAGAGCGCCCCAAAACGGGATTTTCAAGCTTCCACATTCTTCAGAAGAGTGCTCTGCAAAAACGGAAAGCAGATTTAAAGTCAGCGTTCAAAGCTGCCTCAGATGATATGCATTTCATATCAAAAGGCCACGGCCATTGATCGTACCTACCTCCCTCGTTAGTCAGAGAATGAAGTTGACACGACATGTCTTGGTCACTCGCGTCGGTTACATATTCTTATTTGCAACCAATCGGCTATTACAAGGACCAACGAGTTTAGCGTCTGTCCTAGTTTTTGTCTTCAGGTTTTGCAATTCCAACTATCTAACTACATTCTATGTTCCACTCTCGATGTTGCGTCAACTCTTTTTTATCGATGTATTTCTCAACGCAAATGATGTCATGTGACGTTGGGCTATTTGTGACTAAAATATATGCACAGCGTGCGCAGTATCTCAACATGCCAATTTGCAGGCATATCTCCTGCGCTTTGGCCGCTTAGGCGGTTTCGGGCGGATAAGGACGTATTCGGAAAGGTTTGGGCGGATTCGGGCGTATTTGAGCGTATCCAGGCGGTGCCGGCGCGGTCGGAACGATGCCTGGTGTTACACCACTCTGGCATCAAAGCTGATTCGAAATCTTCACTACCTCCGAGCGCCTCTGTACGCCAAGTTATCAATATCTTCTCAGGTCGAAAAACTCATAATCTAGGTAAAATCAAATTTTGCGGTCTTTTCAGCGCTCAAATAGAGCACTTTTAAGTATGAGTGTTCTGGGCAGAAGGTATTGTCTAAATAGAGTGCTCTGATAATCAAAACTGGATCATTTGAGCAATTTGACGAATTTTGTGCTAATTATGCATTTAATTTTTCAACTCAAAGAACGCTCATAACTCGACGTTCAAAGGCGCTAAGCAGATAACGAAGGCAGATTTGGATACAGCATTCGATGCTCTTTTTAGTCGCATCAGTTTCGTGTGAAAAGGCCACTTCGACCAAACGGACCTCCATTGTTAACGAAAATCGATAGGATCGGCCAAACATCAATGGGAAACATACCGCTAAGTCCCACTGCGACAATCGTCTCGATAGCCTTATTTATGGGATCTATTATTGGAAGCAAGTCAGTAGCTTTTCTGAACTCTCAGATTTATAAAGGCAAACCACTTTACCGGTATAGAACAACCAACTGTGCAGTAAGGAAGACTAAGCAGTTTAGCTGTATTTCCACCATTTCGTTGATAATTTCTATAGCTCTGTAAATCTTGATGCATGAAGTTTTGCCGGCTGTTGAAAAAAAAACTTACTTTCTTGTGGAGATTGGTTCAGCGATACTTGCGTAACCCATTTTTTGTATCAAATCATCGAATTCAGTCTGATTTTTTGCAGTATTATTTAGGGTACTCAGAATATTCGTGGGGTAGTTTGTATAACCGTAGGCCCATAGTGCTAATTGAGTATATAATTTGGGAACCGCGAAGATTTTTCTCGATACTTGAGAAAGCAGTTCTTTCTCCTGAATTCGTTGAGTTTTCTTCTCCTACTGGTTTGTTCGTAGCCCACCTTGTCGTAAGCGCTGATGTCGTTATCGTAATTATACACATCGCCAACAAATATGCAACTCAATCTTCTTGTTGGTGAGGCTAAACATCCAGTTGATATGAATCTTATATATATCGTCAGGAAACTGATTATGCACTTGTCGTTGTCGAGGGCGTTGTCGTTTTAACAGTTGGTACCGTTGGCAAGAACCTAAATCTGCTGTATTTATACGAAGTCTCAAAGAGATTTGGACTTCTATAATCATGAAGTATTCGAGATTCACCATACTTACAGAGAAATCTTTTTGGATGCATTCATAAAATATCGTCCACTTAAAACACGATTTGCCAGTCATATTATATCACCTAGTCACACATTGAGAGCATGTTGCGTTTTGCGCACCTTTGTCTTATCTTAATTTGGATTCATCAACAATCCGTCTGCAAGGCTTGCGAATACTTAGAGTTAACGTGCTTCCAAATTCTTAGGTCATAGCGGATAAAGAGTGATTTGCAAATTCAAAGACTGGGATGTACTCAAATAACCTAATCGCCTCTTCTTCTTTTTGTTCATAGCTTAAAATATCAATAACAATTATAGTTATCATGAGTACTGTTGTTATTAATTATTAGTTCATCCTCTGCACGTCCCTTGACTGGTCGGTCATTCCGACTTCTCCCCACAATCCTACGGGACAATAAACCCCTTAGTCCAGAAAGCTCCGGAACAGCTTGATCAAGAATGTTCCACCTTAACAACTTATTTGCGTCGGAGCGAACAACGTGAGACGCCAGACCAACGAAGCCCGACCTGTAGAACTGCAAGAAGCCCTGAAAAAACAACACTTGATGTTGTGGCTGTAAGTGAACTACTACGCTGGAGAGAAACCGGATGTATGGACGCCATATTCTGAATATCGATTTTGCTACGCTGGACCTGAAGAGCCCAAGGACCCTCCGGCACAGTTTCGTGGATGATCGAATTTTACCTCACATACCAGCCTTTACTCTGTCAAGATGTAGCCGCAATGTGGGCGGCGCTGAATCAGGATTAAAGAGCCAAACCTAACCTCCTAGCTAGTGTCTCCGGTCTCTCTTTCATCCCTTTCTCAGCCCCTTTTTATATTTGATATTTTGATGATAAATTTTGATAATCATATTTGTTTGGATAAACTTGGGAGCAGGGGGAATAAAGCAAGTCATGAGCTGCGCAACTCATGAACTTGACAACTCAAGAAAGCGAAAGAATTTAGAGCCCGAATGTCAAGATAGGAGAGTATTAACAGTGGAGTGAAGCAAAGACAGTTCCTTTACAAAAGTTCGTTCTACAGCAATAAAGATTGCCGCAGGAGGTTCAACAGGAGCAACAAAGGTGCATGTAATTGTGCTAGGAGATTGAAACTCAAAACTCGGCACAAAATTGAGCGACGCCAAGACTTCACTCGATTGCTGTTATAATTCAGATAGAAACGTTCGTGGTCAAATGGTCATCGAAATTTGTGAAGAAAATTATCTTCGAACGATGTACAAGTTCCTCAAAACCCGCAAAGGCCGCAAATGGACTTGGAAATCACCTGACAGCAAAACATCAAATTATGTTTATCACAGACTGTCCTGCAAACAGATCAATCAATTTACAAGCGTAAGAACTGGATTTCTAAATTATGAAACCAATCATTGCCTTTTATAAGAAAAGACAAAATGGCCAAGTTCAAAAATGGAAGGAAGAGAGATTGAAAAACTCAGATGTGCGTGAACTGGGAACTCTGCAAACAACAAGTCTCTACTACATGCCAGTCGTTATTACGATTCTCCCAGCAATGGTTATAAGGAACTATGCAAATATATTACCAATGCAGCAAAGGCACCCGTACGTGTAAAGAACATTATTTACCTTTCGGAGGAAACTACCGCTAGGAAATGGAGGCAACGATGTCTACTCAGGGACCGCATTGCCTATGTTTAGAAGAATTAGAGGGAGATAAACGCTTTCATCATTGCACAAGGTTAGAAAAAACTACACGGTCTTTAGTAGCCTGAAAAAACCTAATGGAGAGATATCTTATAGACATCACAGGCTTTTCCGAATGAGCGATGAGAATGGAAAGAGCTCTAGCACAAAATCAGGGGTCAGCAAGATAGTGGGTTCTTATTTCGAAAACATGTACGCTCGAGCTGTTGACATACAATACACTCTACACTATTCACAAGAGATCTGCCCTCTATTTTTGCAAGATGAAATATCCAAGGGACTGGATTGCTTTGGAAAAACATGGAATCCATTGGCAACTCAAAGCGCTCCTTCACGAACATACACAAGTTCACGATCAATCGTGAAGGTCAGTAAAACTTGGTTCTCTAATGATCAAAAAGGAGTACGACATGGAAATCCGCTTTTACTGAAACTGTTTAGTGCTGCACTTAAACATGTTTTTCGAAAAATCGTGAAAACAGCTACGGATGTTAAATAGATGGTAAGCAGCTCACAAATCTAGGCTTTGCTAACGACATTGTCCCAGTTGCAAAATGTGAAGGTGAACAGGCGATGAACGATCTGGATATAAATCACTCAAAAACAAAGATCAATCCTCTAGAAATAAAAGTACTTGCGCATACGCCTGTTGCAACCAAACTTAAGGTACCACAATCGAAATGGATTATTTACCTTGGACCACCATTTCTTTCTACCGGAAATAAAAGATTGCCCATGAGTCTTTTCATTTTTGAGTTTTCGCTGTAATAAGTCAGACATTTCTAGCTCTAAATAGATATTAGGATACCATTCGATAGAGCAAAGCAATCTCTAAAGATGGCGTTCATGCTTTTGCACAAGCTTCTGTACATCTCAAGTTTTCAACCAAAATCTACAAAGTTTTAGATGCCCTAAAAACTGAAAATCTATTATATTCCCGTTGAAAAAATTCCTAATTTCTCACTCGCTCACGCATATACATTCCACATCAGATACTGGTTGAGTTAAGCGTGAAAAACCCGAGCGAAAAAAGCAAAATTCGATATTTCTCGTGAACCAGAGCTTATAGAAAGCCGAAAATCTACGGTAGTACTTCAAAAAGCTTCTAGTATACAAGTGTTAGTGTAAGAGCATCACAGCATCACTTTGATAAAAACATGGAAATTTTCGGTTTCTTGATTTCTAGCCGATAAAAAAATACAGCAACAGCACATATGAATGTCTGATGTGGAATGTATTAGGTTGTCAAGAAAATAATGTCGTTTTTTATTTGCTTGCTTTAATAAAGCAAACAGATTCAACCCAACAAAGGGTAAGGGATACTATACGATAGAGCAAAACAAGCTCTACAAGATGGCACTCATGTCTTTGCGCCATGCTCGATCCACGGAAAGTTTGAATTTGAAGTCCAAAGATTTCCAAATGCCCAAAAAATCGAAAAAAATCAGATCTCCGTCCAAATAATTTCTGCGGACCTCCCACTCACACACGTCAATACTTTCGATATCAGACACCCATATGTGCAGTTGCTTTATTTTCCCCGATTAAAAACTATGAAAATGAAAATTTTCATGATATTCTCAAGGCAATGCTGAGCCGTTCTTGCATATGTAGTTCTACAGTACAAGCTTAGGTAAGTATAACTGTGAATTTTCAGCCCATTCCGAGCGGTAGTTTTCGAGAAAAATTGGATTCAGCTCCCTTCTTTTCAATTTTAGTGCTAAAATCGACATTCCTCGAAAACTACCGCTCGAAATAGGCTGAACTACAGTTACGTTAACCTAGGCTTGTAGTATAGAATTACGTATGCAAGAACGGCTCAGCATTGCTTCGAGAATATCATGAAAATTTTCATTTTCATAGTTTTTAATCGGGGAAAAAATAAAGCAACTGCACTATGGGTGTCTGATATCGAAAGTATTGATGTGTGTGAGTTATTTGGACGGAGATCTGATTTTTTGCGATTTTTTGGGCATTTGAAAATCTTGGAAAGATATTGAGTTCAAATTTTCTATGGATCGAACTTGACGCGATATTATAAACGCCTTCTTGTAGAGCTTGCTTTGCTCTATCGAACAATATCCCTTACCCTTTGTTGGGTTGAGTCTGTTAGCTTTGTTAAAGCAAGCAAATAAAAAACGACATTATTTTCTTGACAACCTAATATTAGGTTGATTCATAATTAATGCACGTTTTCTATACTTCAACTTTCAACCGAGATAATTTTTTTAAAAAGACATTTCTGGGCGCAATAAAAACCACTGTAAGCATCAAATCAGTGGCTATGAAACAGATACTTTTGCTTGACTGTATCAATTACGAGAAAGATTTTCTGGCCTAAAGATTGCCGACAACTTTTTCAGAAGCCTCTACTTTGAGAGAGCACAACTTATGTTGAAATGAAGTAGGATAAAGCAGATTTCGTTCATCGTGTAGCCAAGGATCTTTTGAGCAGTAATGCCAAGTTTGGATTTTACGGAAATTTTTTGAAAGAAAATACCGCAAGAAAGTCGATAGTACCCACTTTTTCCTGACATCCCGGCGAGAAAAATCGGTCATTTTTGAAATTATTTCGTTTTCTCCGCTGGAAAGTGAGAAAATCCTAGCTCTTTTCTACCATCAAATGAACTAGGTCTACCCTTGCTGGATAGTGCAAAAGACCTGCAATCGCCTTTTGATTCAAAGATCAAAGATTTATATGGCAAGGAAGGACCGCGACGATCATTCAAGTTCGCAATTGAATTTCTCGGCTCAGATTCCATGGGATATTTTGTTCAAAAGGCATCTTGTAGCCCAAAGTTTCATAATCCTTAAGCATATTTTTTGAAATCAATTCAACTATTCCTTATGAATTTAGGGCAAAAAGAGTGAAAAGCAAAAATTTTGGAATTTGGTTTCTTTTATTTGAAGGCTTAGAACTTTGGAACGAAAGGAGATGTACGAAAGCGAAAGCCCGCATAAGAAACTAGAAAAAACGCTCTTTTAGATAGCTTAAAAGGTTTTGAGGAAATCGGTTACAAATCAAATACCAGCTCTTGGAAGAAGTGGTAGGAAAAACGTGCATTAATTATGAATCAACTTAATATATGCGTGAGCGTGTGAGAAATCTGTAGGAATTTTTTGATCGGAAATAAAAAATTTTCAATTTTCCGGGCATCCAAAATTTTTTAGATTTTGGTATAAAACTTAAGATGGACAGAAGCTTGTGCAAAAGCATAAGAGCATAAACGCCATCTTATAGAGCTTGCTTTGCTCTGTCAAATGGTATCCTGATGTCTGTTTAGAATAAAAAGGGTGTGATTTATTATAACGAAAACTCAAAGATGTAGAGACTTATGGGACAACCTAATAGCAAAGAGATGTCACGGCGTATACGGCGTAGGCTGGATGGCAAGTTTTTTTACCAATTCAGAGAGTTCCTTACCTCAAAACGGTGTTGATAAGATGGAAGCGGAGACTGTTTAATTCGTGCATCCTTCCCCCTGTACTTTACGGCGCGGAAACATGGGCAGTGACGATGAAGATGGAGAAACAACTCGGTGCTGCTGGAAGACATAGAGAAAGGAGAATGGTTGGCGGTCGCTTGATAGACAGAAAGACGAACTCTTGGTTATGTGGCATAATAAAAGTGAAAGA